GGTGTAAACCGAAATCCGAGTGGACTCCTATACGATCTAATTCGTACGAGTGCACTCGGTCCGAGAGCACTCGTATAGTGAAAACCCGGCTTAAGTAGCTGCGAAATAAGTTTACCTTGAAAAATAATGTTGCCATTTTATTGTAATGTAGTTATTTGCGTTCTCAATTCTGTGGTTGTGAAAAGGGGCACAACTAAAAAAACAACTTTACAAAGAGACGCAACAACGATGCAACGACGCAACAGTTAAAGCTTAATTTGATATTAAGCGTTAAGTATTTTTCGTATATAGTTAAATAAGTCGATATGCTAACATGATACATGTTATCTTTTTTTCAGGAACTGGACTCGCCGTTCAAAATAACAGGATTATGTGCCAATCATTATCTATATACTATAACTAAAGTAGTCATATTATCCGCTCTCTCGGGCGTTCTATCAGAGATGCTGGGCTTCAAACTTAAGCTACATAAAATTAAAATCAAATAGGCAATTTTATAGATACTGTAGCAGTTTTATGTAGTAATGTTACTATTGCATTAAATAAGTAGTCAAATTCAATTTTGATTCTTCTACTTATATAATATTCAAGTACCGTATGTGTACTGTACTGAATTGAGCTATATTTTTGGCTTGTGTCCTTCTCATTATTTCTTTATAATAACGTTGGTATGACTTAGAAACGTACCAATATAAAACTACACTAATATTATATTTTCTTGTGTAGTTCTTATTTACTTAATATTCGATGGGTGCTATTATCCCTCTAAATTTCTTATTCTCTTTAAAAGACATAATAAATTTTAAAATGCATTATCGTGGTGTAGTTATAGTATGTATTATGCCATTTTTTTTTTCACTTTTTAGGTATTAAAAATGCGCAGTCAAAAATAGAAATGTATATACTTAAAATTATTGTACTAGGAATTTACAAATTACGCATTGTTTCAAAGTTATATATATATTTTATGCGATTTTTTTTTCTATAAAAATGTTTACGTTTCGTCTTTATATAAACTATGTACGATATAGTCAAACAGCTGATAAATAATAGAAGTTTACCTGGTAACCAAAAATACAAATTTTTGATGTTTTTATTAATTTGGCAAGTTATTTTTGTCAATATAATAAAAACATCTTGACGATGGGCAAGCACTCAGCTAGTACAGCTATATTATAAGGTGTTCTCTGCTGTACGTACATTTTCTCGATCGGCTGTAATTGGTTTCGAGCATTGCCGATTTATCGATTGTTCGCGGGCACTGTTCTTAGAGATTAGCCTGTCATTGGAAGCACGTGTCCCCACAATCGACAATAAATTAAAACTCTGCTGAGTATAGTACAATAAGCAAGCAGATAAGGCGTTATAGAATCGGCGTTTGCAATGATAGCGCCAGTTATGGTATGGCCCAACGTGTGACTCATTGCCCATCGTCAAGAGTATTACGGCTGGTTCACACTTGTACGGTTTATTCGATTCAGTTTTCTTATTGGGTTTACTGTGTACGTGTTTCCAGTGACAATACACGGCAACGAAAATAAATAAATCGGTGTTTTCACGGTGTACGGTTTTACCGTATGGTGTCAATTGAACCATATTTTACATTCGCCACTGAAACCGTCTATCAAAACTACTCTGTAAACTGTACAAATATGAACCAGCTCTTAATAGTTTCACAGTTATACACGTATAGAATTACTATAGATATTATAGAATTCGGCATCTAAACGCGCTTTAGAATCACACTACAATATACCAAGATAGACCTGTTTAGTCTACATTTTGTTTTGCTTATTTGATCGATTTAATTACTTTATGAAGCTGATTATCTTACGTACTCATCGTTTTTATTTGTCTTGAATGTTATATTTTTAATAAAGAATCATAATTGTACATGTAGACTAATTTAACCCAGCGATTTCTTATACAGGATATAATGTACCGGACGTTTCTGCATATAAAATCATTTGTTTTATTTTTATTTATTATATATTTTTTTCAATATTGTGATCTCAAGTAAATAATGAGAATAGTTCAATTTACTATGCAAATGCCTGTCAAGGTTATCGCAGTGTCAATGTCAACTAAGATTTTTGTGTTTGTGTTAAGAATAAGCAAATCATTGTTAAATTTGTAACTGAAAGTTGATAGTTATATTCAACTACACTCGCCATCGCCATTGTAATTATATTTAGTTGAATAATAAACATTATCTACTGTTCCTAGACTTATCTTTTCTATTTTTGTGCAAAAACTACAAATTTTACCGCGTGGAACGGTTATTCCTACTACCTAATTTTAAAAGAATGGTATTTGATAATCGTAATTTAAACTAATATTACGATATTCATCATATCCTAGTTTTAAGTCGTAAGTTGTGCAGCGAAAATCGCGAAAAACCACCCTGACCCTATGTCAACTGCGACGTTATCCTAAAAAAATCGTTTTGATTTTTTGGTACGTGAAGACTTCCTTAGAAAAATGCGCTACACATAGGTTTCCAAACTTTTTGGCTCACCGCCCACTTAGGCAAAATAATAAATCTAACGCCCACCACCACAAAAAAATAATTGAAAACACGAATTTTTTGTATATTACGTGTTACGTTGGTAAGAGCGGCTACGTGGTCTACGTTTAATTAAGCTCAGTTCCTTGGTCCACCTTGCTCCATAATCAGATTATAGTCATCTGTAAGCCAACTTCTCGTCGAAGTCAATTGACCCAGGCACAATAGTTCTGCAGTAGTAGTGGAAGAGTTGAGTACTCTGCAGATAGTCAATTTTTTTTATTTAATATCAAGTGACAAGTGACGACGAAAAGTCGTGCGCTTGATGGTAAGCTACAGGCCTGTTCATAATAGTTGCAGTGCGCTCAGAGCTATAAATCGCAAAGATTTGAGGGGTACTGCCACTGCGCCCGCACCCCGAGACATAAGTTGACAAGTTCCATGTGCCTGTAATTTCAGCAGCACCCTTACCCTTCAAAACCGGGACACATGAACGAACGCTGACATTAATGCTTGGCGGCAGAAATAGGTAAGGTGGCAGTACCACCCTGGACAAACTCTTTCACAAGGAGCTCTACTGCTAATTAAGTTTACCATATTATTGTAGTGTCATCAGATTTACGTAGCGGGGTACCAAAAATTGAAGTCGATCGAACGAGCGGAAACGAAATATGTCCATTGTAAGGCCGAGATCCCTAATTGGAAAAAATACGTCATTTTGAACAGCTGTTTACTAAACAGGTAAGAACCATCCCAATCTACCATTGAAAGATCTACCGTTTCCAGAGAGAACAGGCTTCAAATGAAATTAATAATAATAATAATAATTTTATTGCACTAAAAAGCCTTAAATTAAGTAAAGTACAGTTTTGAGAAAGTTATATAAGTACAAAGTATAACACGTTAGTTGAGATAAGGCCATTATATACAGAGTATACTGCCGCTGACTAAAATAGAATTCTCTGAGCTTTAGTCAGCAGCTACAGAAGGAAGGTACAAATAGATCGAGTAGGTATTTAAGTTTAGAGGAAGCTATCCGTACTTATGTGGTAAAAAATTTAGTGCTAGGTATACAATAAAATAGTTTAAGCATAAAGTCCTATAAATGGTAATAAAAAGTATATAGTATTAAAAATTTAAATAATTATAGCAATGGTAACATCTTAGTGTCTTATGAATGTATACGTATGGTAATATTATCCATAAGTGGGCATAAATGTGTGTGAGTGAGTGAGTGTGCGTGTGTATGAGAGAGACAGTGAGAGAGTGAGGGATGAAGAGTGAGTGTGTGTGAGTGAGTGTGTAATGAACTGAGTGAGAGTGAAATGCTATCGACTGAGTGAAAATCGGCGCTTCACCCGGGTGGTTGAAGGAGAGCTTCTGTTTCTTCGTAGTTAAGGTTCTGCAGCCATGTAGATATTGTCCTTTTAAATATGTTTTTGGGTAGAGAGTGTATGTCTAATTTCCGATGAATGGAATTATAAAGGTATGGCCCAAGGAAACCAAAAAATCTTTGGGCGAATCTGGTGTTACAATGGTATGGTTTAGCGACCAAGTGGTTTCTTCGTGTGTTATCGACAGAGTAAGGGGTTTTACAATGCTGTAGGAGAACAGTACCAGCCATGTACAACTGGCGGACCGTGCGGACTTCGCAATATTGATAGAGGGAATGCGTGGGGAATCGCCTATGATTGAAAGTACATACTTTCAGTGATGCCCGCTGAGCTCGCTCTAGAGCCATAAAGTGGGTTTTACTGGCACCACCCCATGTAGTGATACAGTACTGATTGGCAGAGGGAAAGGTAAATACGTTTGAGGACGGAAGGGTCTGCGACGTGTCGAAGATGTTTGAACACGAAGATTAATTTACGAACTCGGTTAGCTAGTAGATCAATATATGGTTTAAATGACAATTTGCAATCTAACACGATGCCCAGGTATTTAATTTCGGTGGCTTTCTCTAGTTGAGGGCAAGAACAGGGTAGCTTGGAACATTGAGGAGAGTGAGCGGTAATAATATGCTTGATGGGATCTGGGAGGTAACGGTTACTTATTGAGAAGATTATATATTTTGTTTTTGAAGTGTTAAGAGTGAACAGATTATATTTCAACCACTTTGAGACTGCATCCAGACCGTCCTGCGCAGATGTGAATACCTCGTCCCAGGTATTTCCAGAGAAGTATAGACCGGTGTCGTCGGCAAATAAAAATCGCTTTGAGAATAGTATGTTCCTTTGGGAGCTACGGTGTCCCAAACAAAACGCCAAAACACAGGCTCCCAAACTTATAACTCCCTTTTTTACATTGAAGATTATGAAGATCGACCTTAGGGTCTAGGGTTTAGACTCTTTTTTCTTGCCGATAAAAAGACAAATTACAGCAAGCAATAATAATCAGATTTGCAGACATCTTAACAAGGTTAATAAGGAAATAAACACAAAGTTCATATGTTAATATGATTTTATTACATCAACAAAAATATCATGAAACAATACATAGTTTATCCATCGGTATTTTCGTCCTCATACACAACTTCATTATCTTCTTATGACGGCTACCTTTCTCAAATGATAACTTATTGAGCACACTCTATACAATAATTGCTAAAATAGTTTGTGCGCAGGACTAAATCACATTAAAACATTACAAGTCGACATTATCAATGCAAAACACGCCTTCGAACGATTCAGCAGGGACCAATAGAAATAACCATTACATACATTTTAGCGCGAGCGAAACTATTCAATTTTGTATTCACAAAATGTACGCACATAAGAAAGAACTTTTAGTCCCCGAGTATCAGCAATAAAATAATATACATTTCAGGAAAATTAAAAACTAACAAACAACTCTTAAATTCCTCGTCTCATGTGAGATTTATCGACTAATTCCATTAAACTAACATTCTAAAACTAATTATAAATCATCGTTTATCTATCACTATCCTAAAACGTACTCGTATATCGTCACATTTGACTTAAACATTCTTGGCTACTGTAGAATCACTTTGACGTAAAACATATTTCATCTTACTTCTAGCAATTATATCAAGAAATAAACTTCTGCGAACCTTGCCGTAATATCCTAACATAGCAAGTAGAGATCCTTATGAAAACATTACTTCGTTATTTCGGCATATTCCTACTGGTTTTTCATAGAGTTCCCTATCATTCACGTTCAGTTTTATTTCTTCTACCGTAGTTCTCTTACCAACGTCTGCAATATAAAACCAAACTCGAAACTCCACAAAACTTAACGACACACAGTTTATTATCGAAAGTTGCACTTCAAGGTTTCGCGTAAAGTTTTGTGGAGAACGTGATTACGCTAACACTAAAGTCAAATATAATTGTAACACGACTTCAATGTGACGATGATAGTAAGGCGTTGTCATTATAAGTATGGGAATAGCACAGCTATTCGCGACGACGTTCGCGCGAAGTAGAGCGATGCGACCGACTGCGTCGCGAGTGGTCGCGACCGCGAGAACCCTCGCGCTTACTCCTACTTCGTGACCGACTACGCCTGAAACAAATAATTCATTAATCTGTATGATAGTCATTAGTTTTTTAAAAGTACCTTTTCTAATTTTATTTATATTTCACATTTATTCACAAAATGTCTAAGAATAATTTATAATAAAAAAGAGCTATATTTATATACATTGAAATAACAACAATATAGCCTTGATTTTAAATAATATAATCTAAAGCTACACATGTAGATAAAAAGGTAAGAGTCTCAGCTGGAACTGTTTTTCAGAATTTACCTCTTTGATGGCACTCGCTACATTTTATACTAGTAATAGTAGGCGGCGCCCCAAGTAGCTCCAATAAAATTGTCACTAAAATATACACAACTCAAACTTATATCTGATGGTACCAGTCACATGATATATTCAATTATATATTAAATACTCTTAATTTGAAGTTGTCCTCACTTGCGTTCCCGGTCGCGATCACGCTCGCGATCGCGATCCTTGCTCTTGCGGTCGCGCTCACGCTCGCCGCGATCGCGATCTCGTTCCCTTGCAGTTTCCCTGTGTCTTCGCGCTCGTCTGTCGAGCTCGCGTCCACCGACGTAATGGCGGCGTCCACTACTACGCTCTCTTTCGATCGCCCCACGTTCTTCGCGACGCTTGTCTACAGTTTTCTGCGAAGAAAATAAGACGCTATAGGAATGTTCCTCTGAGACTGTCAATTAAAAAGCAAACAGGTATAAATTATCTAATCTTAATCATTCATTTACCAGCACAAAAAATGGCTGGTGTTTAGCAGGAACGAAATTTTAACCCTTAGCTTATGAGTAGCTTACTTTAGAATAACTTACTAACCTTAAGTTCAGCAAGCTTCTCCCGAATCGTTATGAATCCAAGATGTAACTTTCCTCCAAAATGATCAGCCAATCGCCTGTCATTGTCATGGATTCCAAGGTATGCAGAGCACACTTCACAAACGCGTAATTTTTGTTGTTGATATGAAGAAGCAGGCATAGAGTTGCGGTATTCCTGTTCTGCTACTGCTTTCTTTTTGCGCAATTCGTCGATCTGAAATTAATAACGTCATTATTGATATACTCTATATTTGATATAAATCAGTCTTAAATGGAATCTAAACAACATACCTCTCCCATAAGTTTCATGCTCTCCTCAACCATTCCTTCTTCTCCAAGAGCCTCAGCCCGAGCCAGCTTCTGACCAATTTGCTCAGCAAGTTCATGGACAGCATTGGCCTTCTCGGTCACTTCAGCAGAGAGCTCCTCTTGAGTTTCAGCAAGGCGTTGTTTGGCCGCTGCAGTACGACGATCGCAATCCGCTATAAAGGCCTCCAAATGTTCCGTAGCCTACATAAAAGCGTACACGTTAATACCAATATAATAATCATAGGAAAAAATGTATTTTAGCAATATAATATACTGACGACAAAAGCATTTTTAACAAAAAAAAAACAATGATGGTAATTTTTTTTTTCTTCAAGTTTTGTAAGAGGCGGTATATCTTCACTAAACAATAGATTATACTCTGGTATACTTACAAAAAATAGACCAGTAGAAAAGTTTGAAGGACATGAGATTATTACAGGACATTCTGCAATAGCTCAGTGTAATAAAAATACATACAGCCATGCCCAAAAGTATTAGTTTCCCGACATTTTGTGATTTTTTTTTTTTTTTTTTTTTTATTAAAAATGGACGTACTCTTGACCACTACCTAGCCCTAGAGCAAAGATGAGGTCTACGTTGGTACGAGCTCGCCTAGAAGATGCCTATTCAATCGCACCTTGAAAATATTCGGGTTGTATGTACTCGGAAAAAATAGACGCAGGCAGGGAATTGCAGTCACGGGCTGTGCGCATTATAAAAGATGACGAAAAGCGCTTAGTACGTCTTAAAGGAATATCAACCAGGTGAGGGTGATATCCCGCCGTTCGTCTAGATGTCCGATGGTAAAAGGGGGCGGATGGAATGAGCTGGTGGAGCTCATGGGCACACTCTCCGAAGTATAATCTGTAAAAAACCGACAGACCCGCGACCTTTCGCCGATGGGCTAAACTATGAAGTTTATATTCGAGCTCATCGTCGCCAATAAGCCTCCTGGCTCTGCGATCAATCGAGTCAAGAGCCTCTAGTTGGTATTTCGCTGAGCCATCCCACAGGTGACTGCAATACTCCATGCAAGACCGGACCTGCGCTTTATATAAGGTTAAAAGCTGTCCAGGCGAGAAGTATCGCTTCACCTTGTTAAGGATACCCAGCTTCTTGGCTGCAGTTTGCGCTGACTCTATAGAAGCGCCAAAGTTGAGGTTTGCGCTTAATGTCATGCCAAGAAGCTCTAGGCGGTCGGTAACTGGGACAGATACACCCCGGAAAGTAGGAGTCAGATCAAATGGACTCCTTTTTGCGGAAAAAAGACAGGCCTGCGTTTTGGTGGCGTTGAAGCTGACCAGATTGTTGTCACCCCACTGGGCAACAAGACTTAAGGTCAGGTTCGTTCGCTCTACCATAGCCTCTCTCAGCGAACGAATATCTTCCCTGCCGTCTCTTGCGCTAGACAGATATCTCTCGGTAACTGTACTGTCATCTGCATACCCAACTATACCCGGGACCAATAGGTCATTGATGTGTAGCAGGAAAAGAGTCGCCGAGAGAACAGACCCTTGAGGAACTCCAGCATCAATAGCCGTCAAGTCAGATGAGCAGCCTTCAATGACTACTCGAATCGACCGTTCCCCAAGGAAATCTGATATCCAGCTGCAAAAGTCGGCAGGGATGCCGTAAGCAGGAAGCTTGCTCAGCAAACTTGCATGCCAAACCCTGTCGAAGGCCTTTGAGATATCGAGCGATACGGCCAGTGCCTCACCGTGTTTCTCGATGGCCTCGCCCCAGCAATGCGTAACATACACGAGAAGATCCCCAGTTGATCGTCCCCGGCGGAAGCCATATTGACGATCACTGAGTAGATCATTTATTTCAAGGTATGATAGCAGCTTACCGTTCAGAACTCTTTCCATAACCTTGCAGAGTATGGAAGTTATGGCGATTGGTCTGTAATTACAGGGGTCGGCGCGGCTTCCCTTTTTAGGGACTGGTTGCACATTTGCAAGCTTCCATGATTTAGGCACTATTCTCGTTTTTAGTGAGAGGCGGTACAGACACGTCAGTACAGGAGTTAGCTCAGGCGCGCAAAGCCTCAGTACCCGTGCTGGTATACCATCAGGACCACTGGCCTTATTCACATCTAGACTTCGCAGAGCTCTACGAACCTCTTTTGCGTGGATTGTGACCTCCGGCATTGAAGTGTCACAACGAGGTAAATTTGGTGGATGTTTTGAGCCTGCATCTAGATGCGAATTGCTTGCAAACATTGCAGCAAATAAGTTTGCTTTATCCGTTGCAGAGTGAGCCAGTGATCCGTCAGGTTTTTGCATGGGAGGCAAGGTGGGACGGCAGAAGTTGGATTCAACTGCTTTGGACAGGGACCAGAACTGCTTGCTACCAGGAGGGTAGGATGCAAGCCTGGTCCCGATCCTGCTGATATGGTTGAATCTAGCCTTCCGGAATTCGCGTTTGCAGGACTTGGCGGCAGAATTAAAAGCTCTCTTTCTCGCGCGAACCCTCCGGGCTCGAACTTTGCGGTCGCGAGCTTGTACCCATGCTTGGTAAGCAGACTGCTTACGGGCCTCAGCACGTGCGCAGTCCACGTTATACCAAGGTCGGGCTTTGTGACCCAGTGGAATGTCGGAGAATGGAATAAAGTACTCCATTCCCTGTATAATTGTGTAAAATAAAAATGTGATAATTGTATACAAATTAAAATGCTTTAAAAATTAACATAAAAGTGGCGACGAAAAACGCTTAAAATTAAGTTTGGTATAAACAGGGGTAATTTGATGAAATCGACATGTGACTGATAAAAAAGCGGGTCAGTGATCAGATATTTCACTTAAGTTTCTTAAGACGGAAAGTGACGCTACTGTCCCAGACCTGCTTTGGACCACACATCACTTAATCGTGAAGACTGAAGATGTATGTATGCCTGGACTTTGTCCGGGGGCAGCCCAGCCGTTAACGGTGCAGCACCCTCGATACCAGGGCACCTCGAGGGAACCTTATGCCCTTCAGCCGGCAAGCGGGGCTCTGCCGGTTGTGCCCCTTAATTCCCTAGCTGCTCGTGAGACGTGTATGGAGAAAGAAAATTAAATAAGCGTTAACACCTTAATTTCCTCCTTGGAGGAAACGATTGCTGGGATGGATAGTCCACCTAGCAATAAAGACGTGACTTCGGTTACGGCTACGGATACGAACCAGGCGGGTCCTTCGGATCCCCTGGTGTCGGAATCCAGCGCTCAGCCGCGCATTCGACTGAGCGGGTCTCGCCGGAAGAGACTACAGGGCCTGATGAGAACAGGTATGAGCTACGCAGAAGCTCTGCCTCTATCTGAAAAGCCCTGGAGTGAGCTTCCGGTGCCTAAACCATCTCCAACACCGAAAGCGCAAAAGCGTGGATGGTCAGAGGAGGTGTCGCCACAGGAACACGTAAGGAAGGCTCCCAGGACCATGGCGTCAGCTGAAAGCAGGAACAGACCAACTTTCAGCGAAATGGCTGGCTCCCTGCGCGTGGGTATCCGGAATTCAGAACCCATGTCAGAGGAGCAAATGGAGCTGGTGGAGCTGTTTCTGGTCCGCACCATAGCGAGCACAACAACGCATGGCGAGGGACCAAAGGTCCTGGGCCTCTCTCACAAGGCAGGCTGGATTCTTGTGACCTGCAAGGACCAAGCAAGCGCAGACTGGCTTGTGGGAAAGATCGGCAATTTGAAGCCGTGGCCGAAAGCCCAGCTGTCCTTGATTAAGGAAAGCGAGCTTCCGAAGCCCAACACCGACACCATTTACATTCCCAAGAAGGAATGTGTGTCGGTGCAGATGGCCATCAGCCTGCTGGAGGCCCACAATAAAGGTCTCCGCACTGAGGTATGGAAGATTCTTCACGCAAGGGAAGATGCGAACGGATGGGTAGTCGCGTTCGCTCTTGATGACCCATCTGTGGAGAATCTCCGTGCCTCAAATTGCCGGGCACACCTTGGTTTTAAACAGGTCACGTTTAAGATCAAGGAGTATCCGGAAAGCACTTTCAGCGGCGGCACTGCGCGGGGTGCCTCCGTCTCCAAACCAGGGTCGATTACTAGTCAGCTCGAGGAATCGGGGCCGGGAACCTCAGCGCAGATGCCCGCGCCAGCCCGTCTTCCACGAACCAGGGAAAACGTGACCGGGCTGCCCCGTCTGCGACTCTGGGTGCATCGCCCCAGAAGAATCGCGGACGAGAGGCGGGACACACTCGGACAGCACCCGCTGTCCCGGGAGTCCAAACAGCGCAGCCAACAACAAGTGCCAGTACTGAGGCGGCTCGGTTAAAAACTGCCACAGTAATAGCACTAAATGACACAGGAAAGGGTGAGGGTTCTCCAAGCAAACCTCCACCATGCCGTGGCTGCCGCGGCTATGGCGGAGTGTTGCTTCGCGAAAGGCAATGTGGATATCTTAATAACGAAGGATGTCCACCAACTTTTGTTACTAGGTCAAGACAAGAAATTCTGGACATTACTTTCTCTACGGCTAGACTAGCCGGACTTATAACCGGCTGGCATCTTAGTGATGAGACGTCAATGTCGGAATATAAACACACAAGAACATAAACATAAGATAAGATAAGATTTGATCTGGGAGCAGGAGATGTCTGCCACCCCACTACATTTAGGAATCCAAGAGACGCGGCCTTGGACGTCTATAGAGACAGACTAGGGCAGTATCTTCAAGGGTGTCCTAACTCGATCAAAACCACTGAGAGTCTAGAGTTAGCTGTTGAGGTCACTACCAGAGGCATCATTAGCGCTTTTGAGGAAAGCTGCTCACCAAAAATTCGGACCTCCAATAGGAAGGTTCCGTGGTGGAATGCCAATCTGAGAAAGCTAAGAGAGAAAACTCGAAGACTCTTCAATAGGGCCAAGCTGACAAAGGATTGCGAGACCTACAGGAAGGCCCTAACCAATTATAATAAGGAGATAAGGAAGGCTAAGCGAGTATCGTGGACGCGGTTTTGGGAGGAGATCACTAGTGCTCCTCAAGGTGCACGTCTACACGGAGTGCTTGCCAAAGCCAACTCCCATCAACCAGGACTATGCCTAAGACTAAGCCCGATGGAACCTACTCGACTTCTACGACAGAAACCCTTGAGCTTCTAATGTCAACCCACTTTCCGGGGGCCTTGTGCGACTCGCTTACTAACTCAGTAATTACTGTACATACACCTCGCAACAACAACTGGAACATTGCCGCCAACATTATTAGACCACGAAAAGTGGCTTGGGCTATAAGATCGTTTAAAACGTACAAATCCCCAGGTGAGGACAGTATTAATCCCATCTTACTGCAGCAGGGTATAAGTGTACTCTTGCCATACCTGGTCAAAATATATAGAGCCAGTCTTGCTTGGGGACACATACCAATACAATGGACAACGTGCAAAGTTGTATTTATACCAAAGGTAGGCAGGAAGGACTACTCTCTTGCAAAGTCCTTTAGACCCATCTGCCTAACCTCATTCTTGCTCAAAGCAATGGAGAAGGTACTTGACAATCACATTAAGACTTCGTCCTTAATATATAGACCTATCCATCACACTCAACACGCCTATCACAGTGGAAAATCCAAGGAGACAGCTCTGCTCCACCTTGTGGACAGGGCTGAAGGAGCGTTTGAGGACACACAAATAGCACTATGTGCCTTTCTAGACATAGACGGTGCTTTAGACAATACGCCCATTCGTACTCTGGTAAAGGGACTAACCTGCAAAGGTGTAGACACTTCTACTACGAGATGGGTGCATAATATGCTCTTAAGTCGCAGAGCCAGTATCTCGTTACACGGGGACCGGCTTGTGGCCTCCACAGTAAGGGATAGCAATCAAGGTGGAGTAATTTCTCTTCTCCTTTGGACTCTTGCTGTGGATCAGCTCCTGTATAGGTTGGCCGAACTGAACATTGACGCCCAAGCGCAATTGAGGGCACTGCCAAAGCACTATATCATCACTTACGCAAGGAGCTCTTGACACCATTTCCGCGTGGTGTCAAGATAACGAATTATCTATTAATGCGGAAAAGACAACTATACCTTTCACTAGGAAGCGGAAAGTAGACAAGCTAGTGTAACCGATCCTTGGTGGCAGGGCAGGTTTTTCCGCAGAAGTTAAATATTTAGGGGTAGCCCTAGATCAAACACTAAGGTGGAACTGTCATATAGCTAACACGGTCCACAAGGCCAAGGTGGCCTTAGGTAGCTGTAGTTGTATGGCAGGACAGCGCTGGAGTCCTAAACCAAAGATGACTCTCTGGTTATACAAGGCAATTGTGAGGCCCATAGTAACATATGCGTCTGTTGTTTGGAGTGGCAAAGTCAGTCAAACAACCACTATTGTCACATTGGGTAGTCTACAGCGTGTCGCGTGCCTGCTAACAAAGGGAGCCATGTCCACTATACCTGGAGCGGCCCTAAATGCATTGCTGAATCTGACTCCCCTGCATGTATTCATACAGAAGGAGGCCGGTAACAGCATGTATAGGCTCTCCACCAAGGATGGCTCTCCCAGACATTGAGATCGACCCAGGACTCAATTCTGGAACACCTGTTCTGGGAATGACTTCTGATGTCATGCTGCCAAAGCAAAACTTCAAGAAACTCTACCAGGTAGAATTCCCAACCAGGGAAGACTGGGAAACTAACAGTCTCAACTGGAATGATGGTAGCCTTCTTTGGTATACCAATGGGTCCAAGATGGGACCCAACGTAGGCTGTGTATACACATGTATACATGTGTATACACGGCGTGAGACCCATACTCAGCTACAAGCTAAACATGGGACATCACTCCTCTATCTTTCAGGCCGAAATATACGCCATAATTGCTTGTGCGGATCTAAACCTGAAGAGAGGCTACGTTAACAATTATATTTATATAAACTCAGATAGTCAAGCCTCTCTGCATGCACTAACCTCAGTCATCCAAACTTCGAGGATTGTAGAGAACTGTATAACTAGACTGAATACTCTCGAGGAAAGGAATAATGTAGTCCTGCATTGGGTTCCTGGTCACTCTAACATCGAGAGTAATGAAGCAGAGAATGAACTGGCAAAGGCTAGTGCTAGGGAGGCCTTCATTGGTCCAGAGCCCTTTATAGGAATAATACCTCGTGGCAAAGCTCACTTTGCTGAACGAGAGCTACCACGTCTCCCAAGACGTGGCTGCAGACTAAGGGTCTTCTATATTCTAAAGCCCTGATAGCTGCCTTCAGTGCCAAACACAGTAGAGAAGCTCTGTCACTGGACAGGAATGGCATCAGAATGCTGACTAGAGCCTTAACAGGACATTGTGGCTTGAATAAGCACATGTCAAATATTGGACAGAGAGAAAACAGAGAATGTAGATTCTGCCACAAGGCGGATGAAACTCCTGTGCATCTCCTCTCCCAGTGCTGCCGTCTGATGGGCGTAAGAAGTGCCATACTGGGTACACACAGGCCACACCCAGAGGACATAAAGACTGTCGAAGCCAGGAAAGTCCTTCAGTTCCTTAATGCTGTTGGTCTTGGCCCTGAGCTGTGTTTAGTGGTGATCACAATAGATCATTTATGGTCGCAGTGATGAGGGGCCTCATAGGCCCCAAATGAAGCCACGCTAATAATAATAAAAAAAAAGCTATTGGGAGAAAATAAAGTTCCAATTATAATTATTCTAATTATAAACGTGACATGATGTATCGAGCCTTTATACTAAGCAATTGGTTGCAAAATCTCAACAAGACAATCCTCATTGTCCTATATCGGCCATGGTCATGCACCAGTTTCACAACAAGCATCATCAACTTTATATGGCCACTGCAGACCCCTAACTTAAGAGTTCAGGTACAGGCACCTCTGAGACATTATGAAATGCAGGATTCAAGGACGTAATATCAACATTAAGCATACACTAAAAATTGCTGCTGTGATTGAAAATAAGGCGCAGCTCACAAAACATTAAGGAATTAGTATCAATTTAATCCTACATTATACAGTGTAGTAAACAAAACTGTTTTAACCTTAAACAACCACTCTCGCCAAATATAGCATGTAGGTTAGCTAGAATGGCTAATACTTTTGGCCAAAGCTGTAAATGCAAAAGATCTAAAAATTACCAATGACAGAAAATTTTTACTTACATCAATGTCATAAAAATAGTCTTTGGTTTTGGATGCTAACTCAAAATCCGCACGGAGAGCCAGATCATGTATTTTTGGACACTCACCCAAGTCCATTCGCTGCAATCAAAAGTAACATGCCATGAAAATAACTGTTCATGTTTGGAACATAATACATGGAGGTATAGAACAAATTTAAGTTTCTAGTAATTCTTTATCTTTAATGATTTTAAACCAAAAAGATGGAAGTGCTAAGAACTTTATTGTTTACTTTAATATACTTCTTTTTCAATTTATCAAATATTTAGCACTAAAATGGTGAGTAACCCATAAATAGATATTAATGTTCTTATATATTAAACAAAACAAAAAACCAATTAGGCAAATCAAGTAACTAAAATAATAATTCTATTGGCAGTTGTTTTAACAACATTGAATATGGTAAATTCAGACAAATAAAAACAAAAATACAAAAAAATAATTGTCCCTATATTCCATTTGAATATTGTTTCAATAAAATACATACAATATGATCGACAGCACATCCGACCCGGTAGAAACGCCTGAATGCTAATATACCTTAAATACTTACAAATGACAGGCACACCCTCATGATATCCTAACCGCCCTCCGACTTAGAAAAAGGAAGGGCCAATTTAGTACATGAAAAATTGCACAAAACTGAATAAACCCTTATTTTGCACATATTGGTGTTTTTCAACCAATTAATCAATTAAAGACTTTTTAACTCAATTATACCATTACTGTATCAAATTGATTATGGTTGAAACAAGTGTGACAAATGCAATCTTACTGGTTTAAATTATATTTTTGTCAGCATTTTTGTACCCTATTATAAACTGGTGAACAACAATAATATAATTGAATGCATTTTATTTATAATAACAAATTGGCAGTTCTTTTTAAAATACAACATATACTACATTTAAAAAACAGTATTATATTGCATTATTTTTGACCTGACACTTTTGACATTTTTTGGTACTTAAAAACATTTAAGTAGGTATTAGACATTTCTTTTTAAATTTATATTTAATACATGCAAATAGGTTTTTGTCATATTCTAGCCAGGTAAATAGCACTGTACGTACCCAATGAAGTTAGAATGAATCACCAATATCTCTCACCCGACTTAATATTTTTCACGTTCCTAAAATTTCCATTTGTACTCACCGAAGCAGCATTAGTAACCGATGGATAATTTTATAATTTAAATTAAGCCAGAGGGTGACTTAATAACTTAAATTCTGCTTAGCAGTAAGAATACAATCAGCTAACTATAAATGTTTTTATACGTACATCTTGGTACTTACAGAACAGCCTAACTCATACAATCTATCCCTCATCTGTTAAGTATTGAGAGAGTGATGAGCAATAAAGACTAGTGTTGGGCATTGTCTGAAAAGCATATTTCACCACAGTTAATGCCACTCCGATGAAAGGTTTCTCCAGTGAGGCTAGTTATATGTTACAATAGTTATGACAAAATGGAAAAACAAAATGTACACATTGGGAACACAAATCTAATAAAAAAGGAAAACTAGAAAATTCATTTAACCATATGTAAATACCACAATACAATTAAAAAATAGTCCCAATATGCATAAAATTTAATAGTACACTGCAATTCCCAAAGAAATCTCCGAGATATCATTGAAGCATAATTAAAATTGGAAATTTATTAATTTGAAAATGAAATCTCAGAAATTTGGCTCTAAAGAACCCAGAAATTCAATAATCATGTGAATTTGTTGCTTACCGTAGAAGATAAAATTTCATGTGGACAACATTGCAGTAAGAATGATTTGCAGACTGAATCGTCATAGAATTTAACGCCATGCCTGTCACTCTCACCTGAAATACCACACGTTCGTAATAAGCTTATGCCTCTAAAGTCAGTATTGGATTTTTGGAAGAAATTACAAAAATAACCGAGGAAAGAATGTAACAAGGTACTAACAAACAAAAGTTATTCATCGGGCCATGTCTCCTCAAACATTCAAGCAAATGTTAGTGGCTTCTGTACTCTGTATACAATGCCTGATTACATAAATAGAAAGCAATTCACTCACCATTTCGGCCTGTGCCCATCAATTGATCCAGCATTGCCCTCATTTGCTCGTGAGCAGACATCCTGGACTGTTTCTTTAGATTCTGACGAAATTTCCAAATTAAAGCCGATACTTCTCTATTTTACATATAATCCAACAATACCACCACAAAATTAATGAAACACCATCGAAATTTACACCTCGACAATTCTCTTTCTCCAAAAAGAAACCCCCTGCCGCCAGCGAATCAAATATGGCCGAACGAATTGCCCAAAGAGAATTGGAATGGCCGATGCGTATTGCGTATCTATCAGAGACAAATCGATTAATTTTTCTTTTATAAAATCGACACAAATCTTTCAAAATCTCATCCACGATTCCATTATTTACAATAGCAATACTGAGGAATATCGAAATAACAGTACCCTGAAATAGAGATGAGATTAACTGCAATATAAATTCGCATTCACTAAATGCTAAATTTTTATAGCGCGCTATTTAAAGTGCTAAAATTATAATCTGTTAGTTCTAGCAGTAGTAGTTAAAGGTCGTGTGATAATGTAACGAATGCCGAATGGAAAGAAACGTGAATATAAGTATAGCATTTATAGTTTATCTATAGATTATTCTATAGTAGACTTGTGCCTATCCTTTTTTTTACATAATAAGAATTTTAGTCAGAATGGTGTGTTTAAAAATTAGTATTTAGGTACAACTATTACATATACTCGCACACGTAGTTTGATATTATACATACAGATACCTACCTACCAAAAAATATTACTTTTCTGCAAGCTTGTATGTATACATAATGTAGATACGTATTAGAGACTTAGAACGAGCTGGGAACGTTCAATCGTGCATCCCAATCGAACTTGTACTAAAAGTAGTGAAAGATCGCTATTTGTCTCGCTCGCGTCTTTCCTACTGTATAAAAGACAGGTGAACTATCAATTATATTTATAATTACAGGTGAAATATCAAGTTCGTACTGAACTAAAAAGAACGATGAACTATTAAAACCGTGCAAGACGAACTAGTTCATGTCGGTCAGTGTAGGGAATATATTCCTAATAGTTCGTAGTTGATGAACTATACAAGCCTACTTCATTTGTTTTATAACTACTACATATGGTGGTTACAGGTTATAGAAGATAAATCAATGAGCTTCCCTTCACGCTAAACTAACTAAATAAATCCAAGTAATTTTATCTTAATTTAAATCGGTTCACCAGACAACAATTAACTAACGTTCCACCATTAGCTCAAAATCGTATTATAACGTAACCAAAATTATAATTTAAAACATACAAAAAAACTATAATACTTGCTATGTGCTAAATATAGCATTAGCATTTAGCGTTAGTCATGTGTCGTTATGGCTTTTTCAAATAACCTAACGAAACCGTTTTGCGTTTTTAGATAACGTTGAGGACACTATATATTTTCGACAACTATCTACATCGACTACGGCGTAAGTGAGGAAGCGTTTTATAACGTCACAAGCGCAGGGTTACAATTGATATCATAACACAACTAAAATAAGAAAGCTGTAGCTTGTTTTGTTGCCTTTTTTTTTGTTTGTTTAAAAGCGCTAATATCTGGAACTCCAGTTTTTGCATTTGATAGCCCAAATCTTGTCTATATAACATCTCGCTGCAACCCAAAAGTTTTATAAATATTATTCACAAAATTACAGGTTAATCCATTTACAATTAAACACTATGAAGTCTCATTAAAATAAAACTAATTTGCGCAATCCGCTACGATCAGTAAACAAATAATTAGTATGCCTATCTCCACGAGTGATTACAAGCAAAATTTAAAACTAATTCATTACTAGATAGTAATGAATTAGTTTTAAATTTAAAAACAACAATCGCAACAGAAATGGGACCCTGCAGTTACACGTGTCAAGGTCAATTTTAAATTTCCGAAAATTGTTCATTCTAATAACGATTTTCATTCATAATGCAAAAGTCACATTATGCAACAACGAAACACATCATCCAATCTCGTATTTGTGCAAACGAGACGCGCGTCCTATCCTATAACTTACTCGCTCTTACCGTTGCGTTGCGATGCCTCTATTAATAGTTTGTGCCTCTACGTCGCGTCGCCAACCACAACGACAACATCTATTGCGTGATTATATAGAGCGTTGCGAGATAGCAATACTTTAAAATCACTACAAAACAAGCTATAGTTGTCAAAAACGCAGTGACAATCTTAACGGGGCGTTGTGAAAAATATATAGTTTTGCTGGGTTAGAAAACGAGCGAACGTTGTGAAGTCAAATTGATAGTTTTAAAACTATCTACGCTAAATAACGCCCATCGCTATTTAGCGTACTCAAGCGTGAAATTTAACATCAATAAACCAATCGGCTATTTCGCGTTTCGCATATAACATTTGGTGCTACAAATAATATGTGAAAGTATTTCACGTTATAATTGTTTTAACCAAAGATAAGAGCCGCAATTTGATGTTAATTAGCTCCCCATTTTCACATAGAATATAGTTCCATCTATGAAATATTAAGGGAGATAACCTCAGACACTTAGAATAATAACGCAAGACATACATCTAGATAGACGCCGCAAGTGCACATACTTCGCTTGCCCAAACTAAGTGAAATTCATTTAGTTGCAGCTGCTGCACTTTAGAACGCGCTCGACCATTATCGTAGATAAACACCAGTGGAAAACACGTAAAATGCATAATTTTGCCATAGTAAACTGCAAAAGCACCATAACGGCCGCTTGTACATACATTTCTTTGACCAAATGTAACATTTAGTAATGTATACTTTAGGCAGCACTGCTATCGATTCTGATCGATTTTGAAAACAAAGAGACGAAAATTATTATGACCCTAGCTATATTATAAAAATATTCTACAACTCTTTTGTTACAACGTTTAGTAACATTTCGGTTTTTTTTTCAGTTCTCTAGTATCTACTATCAGTAGTATCTGTAATTTCGACAATTTTTGTAGCACGTTGCCTCGAATGTCCGAACATAGTGAGCAAATAATTACATACATCACCGGATACGTAGTACTAGTAATACATAACGCAAAAAATTAACAGTGCGCTGTCTTCATAAAAACCTGGAGTTGATGAGTTGAACCGAAAAACAGAGTTAGAAATCCGAGAAATAATAAACAAATTACAAAAATTTCACACGAGGCCGTCATTAAGTAAATCTCTCTTAATAATATTTTACCATATTTTGTCAGCAGTAACATTTTTACTTGTCTTGCCATTCATTAATTTGATCAATTACCAACAGAAAACCATCTAGTAAAATTAATTAAGGCAGTCGCAAATTCATACATTGACGTGCATTTTCATTATTTAAGTTAATCGAAAAGATCTTCTATTACAAAAAGATGTTACATAACAAGCTCATTTTATTCGAAGGACAATAATTTTAATATTTGAAGTCGATCAAAAATTAAAGTCTTAATTTTTTTTAAGTAATCAACATTTTTAAAAACAAGTAAAATAAAGGACTTGACTATCTTATTCTAGTATTTTTCTACTATATTAATATTACAACTACTTGTAATCAACAAATACTTGAACAAAAATTATTCTATTTATAACCGATTAATGTAATCAATCGATTTAGAGCGAGTGGAAGGAGGTTTCCATCACTAAATAGTTCTTGTGACGTCATAGCTGGGATTCGCTCTGGACCTTTTGGAGGGAAAAGTGTCGTTTTTATTTTGACTTTCAATTATTTTGTGAAATCTAGTTTAAAGTGGAATAGGATAGTGCTATTGTGCCTTAATCGAAGATTAAAACGCGAAATTATACGAATCTCGAAATAAAATACCCGTATCGGCCCGTTTTAAGGAATCCCGAGTCAATCCAAGCACGCCGCCTCAAATTGCCTATACTCTTTGTGGCGGCCATATTTACAGAAACATATTTAAACTTCATGTTTAGGCTGATGGCTTTGCCAAAGCCTTAATAAATTAAAAAAAAAATTTAAAAAAAAATCATAGCTGGTAATAGTGAAGTTGTTTGTGTGGTGAAGATCCCAATAATTAAATGAAGACATGGCTCGAAGGACTTGTATCCAAGCAAAAAAAAAATCATAGTGGGTACAAAAATGTGGCACGCATGGTTTTCACACAAATTGCTGTACATGCGGCATCTATCTAGATATATGTCTGTGGAGACAAATCAGGACGAAGAAGAATTTTGTTTCTTAACTGCATTAGTAAAGCACGGATAGATTGATGGCAATCGACGCATTGAAATATTGTAAAAGTATGTCGCTAGATGGTATTTAATTTAAATTTTTTTAACGTACTCCAATCCAAAGTGAAAAAGAACGTTATAATTTTAGCACCTTTATTTCTTTCAAATAATTATTGCTATAATTATTTTATAATTTAACTTTGTAATTTGAGCTATATATTATATTAACCATCTCTACCTTGGAGTATCCAGAGCCGTAAGAACCATTAAAAAAAAAAGAATTTGACATTTGTTTTCAATGAATCGTCTAGAGTATGGAAAAAAATTAAAGAAATTTTCCTCGTAGAGGTAGAACAAAAAAAAAGAATTTTCCTTTATTTTTTTCCATCCTTTAAGTCAATTCAAGTATGTACATATTTTATTTTAATAGTCAATTTCAGGCCAAAGAGAATGTAATCAACACTGATTGAATGACACTTTAAATTAAATTATGTTTATGAAACTGACACTGGGGGAAGCCTAGTGGCCGCCTTATGTGAAGTAATAATAAATACAAATTTATTACTAATAATCCAGTGAAAATCTGCAAAACCACGTCGTAGTTATTATAGTGTTACAATTTTCATGATAACGAGAATTCCACCGATTGCAATGTTGCAACCAATCCGGATTATGTTTCCCACGTTTCCAATAAATAACAAAGTAATAACCTATTTTACGGGCTACTTGAGTATCACCGAGGTAGACGAAACTATTATTTACATTACAGAATACTCTACAAGTCCCGACCTTATAAAACATCAAAGTAATGATAACACTATCTGTGGGTATTGCAGTACAAACCTGCACAGAAAACACAAAATATCGAGCAGAACCAAGAACTATCTAGTCATAGAACAGGGTCAATCTCTCCAAATTAATAAACTATTACTAAGTGACAGAAAAATTGAAGCTACAGACAATTGTATAATAATGTTATACGACTATGAAAGAATGAAACATTCTGAAGCAATGTCAGATACTGCAGATTATTTTTTCAATTTAAAAACATTACTGCAGGATGAGCCCTGTGCATTAAAGACAGACTTTGAACCGATACTAATGCATACATCAAAACTGTCATCTTCAATGTTTGCCCAACATTTACTCAATTATTTCAACATATTAGTTTGGCTAGTTCAGTCTGTTAAAGGTAACAAAAAAGTAAGTACACTAGATTACACAAGCTGTTTTATTATACTAATATTGTATGAGGAGCCTTCATTTAAGTACTGAGTTATTAATATAATTAATACAAATTGTTAAGGGAATACAATTTTTCAAAATTTTCTCACCCAAATCACATCGCAAAAGCTTGTCCTATATTAAACTCAACTGTATGGTTAACATATAGTAGTGTATTAAGCAAAGTTTATAACAGTAACGCAATGCGGGTAAAAGACTCAATACACCTAACAGACTTATTTCACTGCAAATATAAAATATAACAGGCCCTCTGCTTCTTACTTGCCAATTTCTTCATAAAACTCCCAAAATATAGGTACCTGGTGTATAAACAAAATAGTCTATAATATATAATAAAATAACTTTTTTTATACTGGCTAATATTGTTTCCTTTTTTACAGATTTCTATTAGAACTGGGAACCTTATTTTAGCAATTTTGACAGACATTATGTTAGGTTATTTAGCATTGAAATTATTGACCAGCGATAAAAAAGAACTTGGTGCCTTTTTGATGGGAATGTTAGAAGTAAGTAAAAACTATCTCATCACTGAATATAATAAGACAGTAGAACTTTAATTACCACATAGTTAACATGTTATTTATCTTAAAATATGGATAACATTCAGCATACAATGTCTTTTAAAGTTTGTTTATTATTTGTTAACTTCCCTTTGCTGTTAATGTTCTAGTTTCATCCATCACAGTTGATTTACAAATATATTTTGTAGAGATATATACTCTAGGACCTCTAGGTAGATATTTGTAAAATTATCTTGGGTACTACATAGGTAATTCTTAATTTACTAAGAATGATTAAATTTGTGTTATAGAAGTTAGTAAACTTACTACACACTTTACTGAAATGGTTGATGGGGGCACCAGCTGGACTAAAACTGAATAATGCATTCAACAAAATGCTGGGACAGTACTTTTCCTATCACATACAACTTTGGTGGCTGTTTTTAGGTAAGAAAATTAGATTACAGTTTCATTCCTTATACCTAGAGTAATCCCAAAAGAAACAATTTTTTTTAATGTGTAATTCAAATTCATAAAACCCATATTCTCTTTCAGAAGTATCAGGAGAAAAACTGGATACAATATTAAATGTCTACCATTACCTTGGTTACTTAGGGTTTACATTTCAAGCAGCAATAATTTCTGATATGATATGCATAGCCACATTCCATTCTTACTGTATTTATGTTTATGCAGCTAGGTAAGTTTTTGATAAATAGCTAGTATGTTTTAGGTACAAAACATGTCTATTTTTCCTCTAACCAACTCGAAAATTAATTATTTAATAATAAATATTTTTAAATTTGCAATGAAAGTTTTGTCCCTATACTAAATGTGTGGGTAATCCGTTTACAACACTATCTAAAATTATAATAAAATTTGTTAGTAAATATATAATACTAGCCTACTGCATTAGACGATACTAAATTGAGGCAATCCTTTTTTCGACATTTCTATATACAGTTTCAACAGCAAATCAAGACATAGGTACACCTTTGTTCGAATATCGCCTCCAGTGCAACGGAACAAGATCTGTCAAAGTGTAGCTTGATGTGCTGTCGTCTGTACCTATAGCCTTCAACCTTAAGGCGAGTCACCGGGAGAAGCAGGAAAAACTGTCGTTAGATCTAATAGTTTAAGTGTTTACTATTACATAACGATCTTATAAAAAATATACGATACACCTAGGGATATTGTCTAAAGAATGTGCTAATTCGTTACACGATAGGATGTACTTTACCCGATCACGTAAAATCCCGAAAATCGGCTAGAATAAAAGTCTAAAATGAATTATTGAATAAAATATTTTACTTGCACATAATTTTTATATTGAGATATTTCTCTTTATGTAGGTATGTATGTACTACAGAGAACCTGCAAAATTTTTTGTTTTCAACTGAAGCCGAAGATTTATCACATTTATCCCAAAACTTGAAAATTGCCCAGCGGTTTAACGATACGCCGCACAGCCCGTTGCCCCGTCAGTCGCCATCGGGTGCTTGTCAACATCGGATCTGTGTCAAATTTTCTCCGCTTGTCTTATTTTATTTATATTAATTTTAAGCGCGCGGATTGCGGGACACCGCACACCTCCCCTCTGAAAAGCTAGGCTCGCGTTCAAATACCTCGAACGCGAGTCTAGCTTTTCAGAGGGGAGGGGCTCGCGTTCAAATACCTCGCCTTAAGAGCGATTACACGCGGCGATTTGTAGTAGCGATGCAAACGCGATGCAGCGCAGTAGCGATGTAGTCGCTAATCGTCTATCTTTACACAGGCCCGCAATTTTATGCAGCGATGCAAGCGCGCCACTGCATCGCTACACATGGAATTTAAAGGCGATTGCATCGATGCCGTGTGTTACCACTCTTAACTGTTCTAAAAGACTGACGTTCGGCTAAAAGAAACCTCGAACTCCGTTTTTGGACACTGATCCTTTTTGTACTCTTCAAGCGCAACATCGAGTAATTAAAGCTTAAAATTTAAATTCTAGACCAAATGTATGTGATCACACCTATAATTTACTTACGGTATGTACGAAAGGAGCCTCTTCGCACAATGTAGCATTTCTTTCCTGTATGCGAGTGGCGCCACCCGCACACTTCACCTCCTAAAATCTAGACTCGCGTTAAGCTGCTAACAGATTGACTACATGTTTGCAGCTCGTGAAGTGGTAATCAACTCCTCTTAACGTTTTGTTGCCAAGTTTTGTAACAAATTTCTTCAACTGAAAAAATTGATATCTGAAGTAAATACTAGCGGCGTAATTTCAGGGTCCAAGAGTAACTTATACGCCTTTACAAAATTTATCTATATGTTTACAATACCTTAACAAAACTACAATACTCAACGATTGAAATTTTACAATTCCAGACTATTCAACATGCAAGTATCCGGATTAATCGCTCTACTTCGTCTGTTTGTTGGACGAAAGTACAATCCACTAAGAGGTGGCATAGATTCCTGTGAATACACCAACCAGGAACTTTTTGTTGGAACAGTAGCATTCACAATATTACTGCTCTTGTTGCCTACTACAACTATGTATTATATTGTATTTACTTTGGTAAGTTTCGATATATCTGTAGCATAGATAACCTCCTAACTATGATCTGTAGTCAGCACGTATCGCCTCCGCGCAGTGGTTCACACAAGAGGTTGGACTAAAGATCTTTAAAAACGAAAATACGTTATATATTAATAAAATAAATCAATATAATCACCTATGTACTTATTCTATTATTGGTGGACAAAAACTAATGTTATATATTTTTTATATTGGAGTCAATAGTTTCGGAGTGTTTAATTACATAAAAACTAGTTCTTCAGTGCCTATGGCAACATAATACGTACATACATACACATATACTTACACCTTTTTCCCACCTGGGTAGGCAGAGACAACAGGCAACGTAATAAAATCTCCAAAACACGGTTCCCTGCTTATTTCGGTTTCCGGTTATTTAGTATTCAGGTAATATGTCCCACGTTTGGTCCATTAAAATGAGGTGCCTCTAAAGTGCCCCTTTGAAGGTGTTAAGGATGAAAAAAAATCAGTGTTACTTCTGGCTTCCGGTTTTTTAATTACTTCGAAACCGGTTATATCGTTGTTATATCACTATGGATATAAAATGCACATTTACTGTATATGAAGTGCTGGTAAATGCTGATAGAAGGGATAGGTGGGTGTGGGAGTAAAACTAGGATAAAACTCAATATTTAGGTAAATAGATTTATTCAATACTGCCGCTGTGAGTTAAAAGGGCTCTTGTGACTCAAACTCAAAACCGAGAAAGTAATGTTTAAAGAAATAAAAAAAATATATCTACTTTTCTCATTCGGTAACTTCATACCTTATCCACGGAAAAGTAAAAATAGAGACAGATCAGGCTCTTTTTAATGATTACGGCAGTATACGTAATTTTTTTTAATGTCACATGCGCTCTTTCAACTAAATAAAATTTATAGTATTAAACTTGTATGACTAAGACAGAATGGCTATTAAATTTAGAACATTTTCACCCTATTCATGAAATACTCATGAATTAAAATTGATCATTTTATTGCAGTTTCGATTACTATCGATTATGGTGCAGTATTCATTAGCGAAGATAATTTATGTGGTGCAAACGTTGCCTTTGTATATCGTCACATTGTGGTGCGTACGCTCTCCTAAAGTTGCAGGCAAGTGTTTTTTTTCCCGGAGAGCACCTCTAATTTGCACTAACATAGTTGACTACTAAATTGATGCCAGTTGTTATATGACCAAGATAATTACCTAATACGAATGACTTAATAGTTTCTTCAGTCTATTAAAATCCGTCAATATCAATATATAACCCTATAAGTTCTTTTGACTGTTATCCAGATCCTTACAAATATTCAATTTGTACACTTATTTTCCAGGAAACATTTTAATCGAAGTAGAAAGCAGTGAAGAAGGTTCGCCATTAGTATTAAGAGTAAAATTATTTAACAAATCCCTTCAAGAATTAGTGGATCAATTCAAACCTCCAGTAGATGCACCTAAACAATTTAAACTCACTAACGTCGTCTCTAATGTATGCATTGGGAAGCAAATAATATGACCTATAAAGTATAATGAAAAATAAAATACACTTATTGATGGACTTAGTTTTATTTTTAATATTATTCAATATTACTTTACGTAGCAATAAAATAAAAACTGATTGGTCACTGCAAACGTGAACATAAATGCTTAATCACTTAAATGTAAATTGTAACTTACTGGGATATTTCTTCTTCAGGCTAAGAAGTAATTAGATTTGTTCAGCGTAAATGTGTAAGTATAGTTAGACATTTTCCCATTGACTTACAATTATATGGACGTCGGGTCCGCGCTAAAAAGTGTCCGCACTTGTAAGGCGCTAAAATCGTATACAGAGCGCGACACTCCGCTTTAGTCTTCATTTGTTCTACGGACAGCGCGATACTGCGATGACATAACAATTTAAATTTCGAATAGGTTGACTTGGGACATTTTTTTCGTGGTTTTTGTATTAGACCCGTCGTCCATTTATTTGTAAGTCAATGCATTTTCCTTACCTATTATGCAGATAGAATTTGTAACTGCATATTTTCAACCACTGCACACTAAACATTAACAAAATTTTGGTGCAGTACTATTCCTACATGAAAGGGTGGTAAGGAACATGAAGTACATTTTCTAATACATTATGGTACATCCGGTACAAAATATTATTATAATTATGCTAGATTTCTAAGACATATCTTTATTCTAACACGTTAACAGTCGGCTTTATACGAGTGATATTTGGGCAAGATTTTAAGCTTTTCTTACTTTTACAGGGATTACAAAAAATGCTGTAAAACTTAAAAGGCTATACCGACGTTGCCAATTGTATACTATCGCGATCTCAAAAACTATTTACAATACCGATATGGCTATCGATATTACCTATATTCAGCTTCTCACTCGAGCGCTATATCTCTTTTCGCTCAGATTATGAAACTAAAGGAAAAAACGAGCAACAGCCATTAGATTCTTTAATTACAGGGACGTCTGGGACCTTTCAGTTTTAACAACATACATTTGTAAGTTTTTTAAACATTTAGAAGTCTTAACGTTATTAAGATCTACAAGTTTTTAACTTCTCATTCTAGTTAATCAAAACGCGAGAGGATATTAGGAACAAGATTTTTTTAACACAAGTTAGTTTGCATGCTAACACAACTGTATTACTGATAAAAAGTTCATAAATATATATGCAATGTTAAGTCACATTAATAATTAAATATTATAAACAGGCTATGTATATTTGAATTGAGCAATTTATTGAGGTTTTTGTTAATATTCCGTAACGAAAGGACAACATCTAAGTTCCAAAATATGGACTTAAGGTCCTTTATATGTCGAGATGACGGGCGTAGTGACATTGCCCAAACGGTCCTTACGACGAAAGGTCTGAGTGGCACTGTAATTGTTGTAGGGTAACGCGTCGCTTACCATCAGGTCTCGAAGAACAATTAAAATAAATTTGATATAACGACCAAAATGTAAGTTACTTTAAATATGAAGGACATGCATAAAAATAAATATGCATTTGCATTACACAACAAACGTGTTCAAGAGTATCTTTAACAATGCTAAAATATAATCCTGTTTACAACACTTTAACCATAAAGTTACGGAATATTAACTACGTTAACTAGATCAATGTTCGTGAAGCCACATACTAGAACAGTAAACAGACATTTTATTACATAGTAACCGACGCAAAAGTTAAATAACACCAAAATTACGTTGCAATCAAGAAAAATATGAATTTAAGTATTAGTTCATAAAATATTACATCGTTAACAATTTCATACATACCTTTGTCTTACTTTCTCTATGTATATATAGTATATTTCCAAAATATTTTTTGTTCGGCGATATAGTAACAATAGATATTAAATATAAAGGTGAGTCCGAAATACCTACTCCATAGATTTTATACAAAATCTTAGCACTATGTGCATCCTAGTCCATAGCCACAAAAACCTTATTTAAACCACATTTTAAATTAGTGCTGCACACAGTAATAGTTTTTTCATACTACAGATTCTGATTCTAATACATTCTCGTAGACTTGCCTTTTTAATATTCATTGCCAGACGGACGCAGAATTTCCAAAGTTTTCTAGAGAATTACTGTGCGCGCGTGAAGCAAGCAACTACACAAGCGCCTCAATTCACAGTTATCTCCGGTGGGTAGGCCAAACAACTATACATTCAATCCTAACTAATCCATTATATCATCATCACAGATATTATTATTAGTAAAAATATAAAGGTATGATGTAGATCACTGTACGAACTGTATTTATGATCAGCAGTGTATCATGAAGCGATGTTATTAGTTTAATATATTAATTAGTGTTGCGAGTTACGAGTGTATCGATACTATTGTGAGCTCGAAAACCAATGACAGAGTAGAAAGGATACATAAGAATACTATTATTTGTTAGAAATATCGATCAATGGTAATATATAATTACTGAAATTAAAGTCTGGTCTACATTTGTATCTATTTGTGCATGCGACACGCATAACAATCATGTATATTTTTATCATTTCTCAATGATGACACGTCGGTGTCGATACGGTACGGTGTTTGTTTTAGAAGGAAATTTTTACATTTCTGAGTGGGGCGTGGCGACTACCCTGGACATTCAAGACAGAAACCGTGATGTCCTAGAAGGATGAATCCTCCCTCAACGTCAAACTTGTTGCTCAGATTAGGGCAACTCTACTACTTGTTCGTTTTAACTTTTCAAGGGCTGTACGGAACATTCACTATTTTACATAGTGTTTTACTACAATTTTTTGTAACCACACAAAAATGACATAAGTGTAGACCCAGAATATTGCTCATAACAGCTATCGATAACATTGATGATATTCGCGTATCGAAGTTACCCACAATGAACTTCACAAGATCCCGCAACGCTAATACTAATATCACGATATCACTATTCAAACTATCGCAGCGCAACGATGCAGATGTTGAGACGATACGCCGTAGGCAAGTCTAGTTCTTCAATACACACCGGTAGTCCTTATTGACGTCGGTACTCGAATTTGGTGAATGCTCTTTAGGTCTAACGGTACCACGACACGATGCTAACTTTGATTCCAAAGCCTACAATTAAGAAAACACAATATGAATGATGTTAATATTAGTAGGTGATGGGAAGTTAATGCAGACGGAATTTAAGGTTTGGGAACACCATCACCAAATACATTGAAAGCGATATTTATACAACAAAATGCAAAAGCCGAACCAAATATATTTTTTTCTGTGCTGTTTATAAACGTAATCGTGTGATAATGATAACAACAAAGTTTACAATACTACATTTTAATTATTGTTCGCATTTTTATAGTACAATTAATCAGGTGTCATGCAAATAAAACCATGTGCAGTGTAAGAGCTATATACTCCTACATAGTTGATGTTGCCACGGAGTAATTTTCATAAACACAAAATTTCCTATAAACAATCATTTGTTTATTTACTTGCAGTCACAGTTATTAAAAGTAAAATACTGCCCAAGTAAATTAGTGAATTATCCTAGTGTTTAATAAATGTCCAAATAATTATTTTCTCATATTTAGCAATAAAACCATTAAGTTACGCAGCTATTGGCGCTATATTGAGCTACGTAGCAATGTAGCACTTCAGTGCTATGAACACGCTGCACAAGGGCTTACACACTCCATAGAATACCTTTAAGTGATCATAGCAGTAATAAAATTAAAATAAAGACGCTCTGAGTACAAATTTTCACACTCAAAAGTAAAGTTATAGAAATAATTATTCATACAAAATATTAAACAATACATTCATCAAGTCTATAAATGAGTATGTAACAGAAAATATAAATTCCTTCGCGTTTAAATAATAAACGCCTAAGAAAGCAATTTATAACTGAATTGATATGAATTAAACATTTAAATACTAATTATTTACATAAAACTGCAATTAGCAGACACTGTTTACCACGAAAAGTACATACAATAAATTTATTGTTATTGCCGAACACTTGACTTAGACTTCGAATTATCTGATGACTTTCTTAATGTATTTAGTAAGTTCTCAAGGCCCTCTCGACTTCTTACAGCAAAAGACCTCCTGAGCTTCCCGTTTTCATTTTGCGAAGATCTACTGAATGGTTGTTCTGACGCCCTATATGATAAGGGCAGTGGAGGTTTCTGAGATACATGATTCTCAGGTTCTGATAACTGTCGCGTCAACACTGGCCGCCTCAACTCTATTGGTTCTGTATCGCTTACAGCAGATTCTTCAGTGTTCCTGTGGGTATCTTCTCCGACGGCGACATCAGGTGTCAGGTTACACGAGCATTTGACCTTACCACATTCACGGCATAGAAACCTTTCAAGCTGCAAGCAATAAATGTCATGCATACTAGACACTCAAGCACAACTACAATCATGCAGTAACAAGCCTAACTAACATCAATTTGGGTTTAAATTTAAATGTAGGTGCTTGTAGTGTATTTCTTTATTCATATAATATATGGCATTAGTACATACTTAATGCCATATATTATATGAATAATAAGTACACTCTTAATGCCATATATTATATGAATATACCACATGGCAATTGGGCAAGCAATACTTTATAGACGGCAAACAAAAGTGAACATTATAAAATAAAACCGGATTAGCTTTGTTTTAAGGGCAAAATTTTCACACTTTCTTTGTGTAAGAGTGTGCAAACCAAATGCGTAAAATGTGTAATTATTTACATTATAAAGTAAAATAACTGAAATATAAATATTATACGAAACAATTTTATTGAATAAAGTTACACCACTAGCTGATACACATAAATAAACAAATATACATAAATAGTAACAAAAAATAAATAACTGGTGTGCTTTGGTGATACCTGGTGCACATCTACATGTAAAGCATTAGGGGGAATGCACCAACTATGTATAGTGTACAGTATATTTAACTACTAATTACTACATATACGTATACCCAAAATAACATAATTAGACTACGAGAAACAACAAAAAAAAATGTTACAATTGATTAACTGTGTCATTCTAATGTTTTTAGCAATATCACTTTATTGATACACTTTAAATAGAATAAACTGATAAATCTGATAATTATGAAAATAATTCTAATTTCGATTACAACTTGCAAAATGTACCAAAACTACTTTTTAGAAATTAGTAGAAATTATTGTATCCAGAGATGGGAGCCTGGAGATCTGATACACAGGTTCCCACCAAATATGACTCCAGTCTCTTATCAAGATTTTTCTTTTGAAGTAAAAACTAAAAAGTCAGCTATTTATAAGTTTACTTATGTAATGACCTTGATAAGAGGCAATAAAGATTATTACTATTATTAATATTTTTTTAAGTTTGATTTATACTGCTGGAACAAAAGCGATATAGCTAAAAACGTCATAAAAATACTTAACTGATACACTCAACAGTAACTAGAGCTATAATCACGGCTACAACAGTATTAATAATCAACAAAAATACATTTATATGACTTACCCCTACTTTCCGAAGAAGATCACCAACTATATTGATAGCAGTCACTCGCGACGACGGGGTCATCGCATTGCCGTTTATTTCTCCTGATGAAATAAAAACAAATTGTTACATTACTATTATTATGTTGAAGGAGAAAATAAGGAGAACGGAGATAAAATAATTAATAAAAAAAACTTCAAATTGTTAGACATTGATAAGGTTTTTAAGAGGAGAGCTTTTAAAAAATTATGTTACATAACGACAACCAAAATTTTAACTGTCAACTTCAACTCAATTAAAATTTCATTCGTACATTTGCTACAATCATCAGAAATAAACAAAATATTTCGAAAGAACTTATTTCTCAACTTTAGATTTCAACTAAATTAATGATTGGAACAAGAACCAACTCACTATCTTCTAACAATCCAGGCGAACAACGAAATTCAATGTGAAGAAACCTGTACAAAGCTGTGAAAGTGATAAAGCATTTTTAAAAACTTACGTTTTTGTGGTGTAGTCATTGAAGTCTGTGTTTCGATTTCAACTTGAGTACGAGTGGAGACATGCCCATTAACTAAAGCATTATCGTTTTCACTACCGTCCTCTTTCTTGCTGTGCGGATGTCGTTCTACTACTTTTAGTTCTTGTTTCAGATCTGCAGAAAAAATTGATATACATGTAACTTAAATCAAACATAATCTCTAATTTTTCATAGCTGGTAATGCATGCAATATATGTTCGGTATGTTACCATATAGTCCAGTTTTCTTTAAAAAACCTGTCGAACTTTATGCTAGCAAATGAATATTTTGAAAATATGTCTCAAATTAACACATAGTCTTTTAAATTTATTTATCTTTAGTTACGTTTTACCAATGATTGCTTTTTGCCTTCTGCCAATACTCTTCTAACAATAACTGAACTATAGCATTCCAAATGTATATGTATATGTATAGGCAGACCTGTCGACATCCATAGGCACTTATTTTCAAAAGTTCCATTAAATACTTACCAGCTGGTTTAACAAACCAGGAAAATGTATTTACACATATTATAATTACCTCTAGCTTCATCATTAGCCCTCTGTAATTTCACCCTCAAATTCTCAATTTCGTCTACTTCACTCTCCAGTACAGCATTTCTTTCATAAGCTTGATTTAATAATGCTTCTATACACGACACTGATTCTGATATTACTCTGAAAATTATACGGTTTATCATAACTGACTAGTTTACTTTCAAATAGCTGTCTTGTTTGTACTAATTAAACCCAGAAATAATGGAAGGGGTCTGAAGTAAGGACTTTTATTCTATAACTTTTTTTAAATTATCAAACAAATTAAAATATCGTTTAATGAGAATCTTATGAATGAATACTATATATAGACAGAAATGGTTTTGATTACTCCATTTCAATAGTGTTATATGGCTTCTAAAATACCAACAAAATAAATTTATTGGAAAATAATACACACCAATAAAAACAAACAAGCCTTTCATTTCAATTTGTCCTACTATTAAAACCAGATAAACAATGCTGAAACCTTAGAAAATTTCTTGCAATCAATGTTTATGTAAATCATATCCTTGATATCTTAGTTTATAATATAGTTCCTTAGTCACTGTTGTACTTTGTGAATTAGTCAATAAGTTATTGATATGCGTTTTTGTAATGATGTGGAAGTAGTACGACATATTTCTTTTGTAGTATACAATTTTCAAATTATTAAAACCCTTACCAAAATATTAAAATTAAATACGATGGTTGAGCTACTGATTGCTTTACGTTGATTTAAAGTTTTAAAATTTTCACACGTTATTTAATTTTAAAATCGAGACTTAATCATTTATAAACATATTTTATTTCCTCAACATTTCTTATGTGTTGTGATGTCTATGGTCTCGAAGGGACTGTCCCTTTGAGACTATGTAAGATAAAATATGGTCAATATGCTAATACACGATTAAGTCCCAATTTTAAAATAAAATAAAAGTGACTGTGTTTACAAAAAGTTTAATGGTAATAACTTTCCACTGTATTCACATCTAAACAATTACTTTTCAACACAAAAGTCCTAGGACTTTAGATGACTATTACGATTCTATAAAAATTTAGTGAAATTTGTAATACAACAGTCAAATATGTGGTTTGGCATGTATAAATATATGGCTGTCATATTATAGGTTAGATAAAATTTTCTTTGTTTCAAATTTGTGTCAATGATAGATAACACCTTTATAATAATAATGCTCACGCATGTATAAATATCTCGAGGGGAGGCCTTTTTAAGAAATTAAACAAGCAGTACAGAGTAAAAATATCCTTTGCCTTAATGCTTCTGGGTTATTCCAGCGAAAATGACACCGCGGTTCAAAAAATAAATTACAGATTTTGATTTTAATTATATGACTAGAATATGCCCAATAAATCAAAACATTAGAAATAAATGAGATTTTTCAGATATTGTACAATTATTCTATATCTTCTCTTTATTACCGCAGCCATAGTGCAATCGTCTATGATGGAGCATTTTTTCCTATAATGTTAGCAATAATTTTCGCGGTTATTTGTGCGTCTTTCTAAATAAGTTATTACTGTCGAAAAAAATACAATTTACGAATTTTAAAACAGTGATAAGTGATTGCATGGTGAAGTATATATGGTGAAGAGTTATTAAAGTTTCAATACATACTAATTTCAAGTCCCACCTATCACAATGAAACATATATATTTTTATTTTATCCAATAAATATGCAATCTGTTGGTATTTGTTTCTGTAAAAGTAACAATTATGTTAAGGGTCATTATTTTGGTTTGATTAAGCATTGTGCAAGTAAATAGGAATGTTAATATTAAGATTTGGAAGTGTGTCCCACCCGTCTCAGAGATGGGTGGAACACACTTCTAAACTTTTTTATTTGACTAAATGTTTGTATTTAGATGGATTTAAACATTTGATGTGTTAAATTGTGACGATTGAGACACCATTTTGTGACAAGTGGGACAAGTTACATTTGAGTACAAAGAAATCTAAAAAATATACTATTTATATGTAGATCCATCATTTGTAAGCAAATATTTTATAATTTTTGTCATAATTATGACTTTTAACATATTAAAAAAAAAACATTTTTTGCATTTTCCTGCTGATTTTTAGTATCAGGAAATTCATGAAAAGTCAATAAAGAATGTTTTAACTACATATTCGAGCAAAATTTCTAAAATTTAATACATTTTGATATGACACTTTTGTATCAAGGATGCGGCAGAGTTTTTCAAATTTATTAATGCATTTTACATGCGTGACTCTGATTTCATGTCATCATAGATAGTGTCTCAGGAAAAATAATAGGATTACTTTAACAGTTCTTTCATTCTGTTTTTTTTTTGTGTTAAAATGTCTTAATACAAGAAAAATCATAAAATATTTGCTTACTAACAATGAAATTATATTAAACTGTGTAATTTTGTTAATTCTGTGTATTCAATTGTAACTTGTCCCACCCGTCACAACTTTAACATATTAATTACCTTAAAATTTATTAAAGTTATTAATGAAGTGTATATACTATAAAATAGAACTTTACCATACAAGTTATCACATATGAAAAACTTGCAAAACAAGATAATAATAGTTTGTCTTGATTTTGGCAATGAAGCCATCAACTCAAACAGGCGGGTGTCGTGAGTGTCCCACCCATCACTTAGAAAATTAAAAATTTTGAGTATAAATAAGGTCATAAATTTATGTTAATAAATAGTCGCAGTTGAGTTTCATGATATTTTCATTTTAAGTCCAATTAACCAATGGTTAAGGAGAAATTACTTAAAGTTCGAGAAAAAAGGAGTCAAAATGTCCCACCCATCACTTTGGAATGGCCCTTCTGCAACATTTACTTTTATAATGTCAAATAAGTTATATTATATTTTGATCCACATATTTACCTTTGACCTCGTTCTAAATCATCATTTTTCTGTTCTAATTCTCTGACATATGCTGCCTGCTTATCTTTTTCTACTTTGAGGACCTGTAGTTCATTTTCCAAAGCATTGGTTTCAAGCTGAGTTCTTTCTAGTTTACTCTAAAAATAACAAACCATTTACAAATGCAAAAAATTGTTTAAAATAGACAACAAAATCAATACACAGGTGAAAACTGAAATTGTACTGTAATATTACAATATAGCAGTTTTTTTTTAATAATTGTGTAAAATTTGTTTATTATTTATTAATTATAATTTTGTAGTATCTAAATAACTTTGCAACCCAATCTTTACATTCATGTTTGTGAACGCACGCAAGTACTTACCCTTAGAATTTCGATTTCATTTTTTAACCTCTGATTTTGATGTTCCAGATCTCTGTTCTGTTTCTCAACCTGTACCAAAGAAGCCTCTAATTCCTTCTCAAGCTGCGCTGAGTTCTCAGTATATTCATCAAGTTCTTGCTGTATGTCGTTAGCCCTGCAATCCGTACAAGTGCGTGTATGAATCATAAAATCAATGCAGGTTGTACGCAATACAATTAAAGCGCCATAAAAAGCACAAACACTCACTTCTGTTCATAATACTTCGCCTGCTTTTTCCAATACTCCACTTGATCAGATTCTAATTGTCTTGGAGATTCCATGATAAAATATTATTTGTTACTTTCAACAAATTCACACTCAAGGATACACCTTCAACGATTCATAACAAAATTATGTTATTGATGCGACCAATGCAACCTCTAAATTGTTTTCTTAAGAATTGTGATGCAAACGTTGATGAATTGAATTATTTCACTACTGTTTGCGAAATATTTTGCCGTTATAACACAAAACGTAAAAATTATGACACAACTTCGTCGTTCAAAACAAGACAATTGACAAGACAAGATGGCGCTGGCAGAAGGTATTGCAATTTTCAAACATCATCTTGTAATAAGAGGTTCAACACACACCCTGACTTTATATGATGTGTGTGATCGTGTCATTCAACATATTTGCTCTTATGTAGCGTAGTTGTTGGGTGATGGTGAAGCAAAGAGTCTTTGCCAAAGACCAAGTAATATGATGACTTCAGTGAGTTTTATAATAATTCATACAGGGACTGCCTTCGGGAAGTAATGTAATAGAAGTTATAGCTAAAAAATGTAAAGAAGATAAAGAAATAATGTGATGTGACGACGATACATGAAAAATGTTGCTCACAAAAACTATATAATCAATTATCTAGTTAAAAATGCTTATTATTACTTGCATGAACTGTCAGATTTAAAAAATAAGTTACATACCGATTTGATTAGGGTATAATCACACTAAAAGATATTGGTGGGATTGTTCGAAAAAAGGTTGCAGATGGAAGTGAAATAATGAGCTAAACTTTCTTTTTCTGAAAACACGTATGATTTTACGGGTTTTGAAGGATTACCTAACGGATTTAAATTAAAATGTGTCTATTGTTTCATTTTAAAATTATATGCGTGCATTAAATTATATTTAACGTGTTGCATGATGGAAAAATGTCCATTTTGAAAAAAATATTGAAATAAAATTCTTTCAATTTCCTGTATTTGCCCTTAAAGGATGGAAAAAATTGGTTTGTATAGTCTAAGATTTTTCCACATTTGTCAATTGACAAATTGTTGACAAATTGACTGTCAAAAATTGGAGACACAGAACGAAAACGATGGCGCCATAATATATTATATAAAGATTTCTTTTACCTGTGATTCTCTTCGCTGTTGTTCAATCATTTTAAATCTAATTTTTCTCTAACTTACTTTTAACTATACAATTATATTTTATAGTTCACGCTAAATAAAACTTCAACAGATATTTCTAAACAGAGAGACTAATATGAACTTTGTATTTTGAATTATATTTTTTTGATTGATTGGATATGAATTATGTTTTTCCATGTTTTCAGAAAAATTTCCACTATTAAAATTTTTCAGAAAATTACCCAACACTACAGTAATCGAGATTAATTTAATTTATGTACGTATGATTCATATATATCAATGTAACATGTCCTTTAATTTCCATAGTCTAAGCGAAAAATTTTATATAAGATTCTGAGCTGAAATGGCGTGTTTTTGAAGTTACTTAGTACTGTTTTTAAAAATATTATTTTTATTTTAAGTATATTATGAAGAAAAAACGAAGAAAGAAATAGTGATGAAGAAACCAAATTACAAAAGACTTCATCCTGAAAATTCCACTAATTACGAATTCAAAATTATTGTTCGAAATGATGGAAGATAATGTGATTTAAGTGAAAGTAAAACATAAATATTGACTCCCGCCGCTTAAAAAACTATTTAATAAACCCAAACAAGTGACCTAAGTTATTTCAGAAAAAGTGAAAACATAATGTATTAGAATTTAGAACTACACTGGCAAATATTACTGAGAATCCCGATAATTAAACGAAGACATGGCTCAAAAGACTTATATCCAAGCCAAAACTATTAATAAAAAAAGAAAGATTCTGACGGCGGGTTTTTGAAGTCACGAGTATTTTACAAAGACTATTTTTGTTTGAAGTATAATATTATGAAGAAAAAACGAAGAAAGAAATAGTTATGAAGAAAGTTAGAACTATATTCCTTAATTTAAACCAAATTACAAAAGACTTTATTCTGAAAATTTCACTAATTACGAATTAATTATTGTTGTTATTATTGTTGTATTAAGTGATAGAAGATAATGTGATCTAAGTGAAAGTAAAACATAAATATTGACTCCCGACGCTTAAAAGACTATTTAATAATAATAAGTGAACTAAGTTATGAGAAAGTGAAAACGTATTGTATTAGAATTTAGAACTACAATGGCAAATATTAATGGATCCCGATAATTAAACGAAGACATGGCTCAAAAGACTTATATCCAAACTAAAACTATTAATAAAAAAAAGAAAGATTCTGACAGTGACATTGACGTTTGACCCTCAAGAAGAGTTCAATAGTTTCCAAAAAGTATTGAAATTGTAAAAAGTGTAATTAATCAAAGAAAAATTAATGTCTAATAAGTTTTATTATGCATTTTCAAACATTTATATTTCATAGTAATGTTGCAAAAGTATTTTGTTGTAGTGAATACCATTTGCCATGCAATTTAAACGCTGAAGATTTTTCAATACCTATTTTCTTTTTATTTTGAATGACGTGTAATGTTTCCAACGGCCGACGCTGATGATATTTCGCAGAGCACGTTATATAAAAGGAACTCGAGTCCTTCTAGAAATGAACGAGACTCTCGTAAACCCACACAAGTCGCGAAACCAAAAAATAATAACCGCGAGATAACTTTCAACATGTTGCTCAAGGAAATGGTTTTCTGTATCGCCCTCGCGCTCACTACTTATGGAGCACTTCACAATACGTAAGATTTTCCACGTAATTTCAATTAAAAGTAGTCGAGATTGTACTATGGTATAGCTTTTCCAAAAAAAAAAAACAAATTTCGCTAATGATTTATTACGTCTTTTTTTTTTAAATTATTTACCAAGATTAACAATATGGAATGTAAAAAAGTACGTAAGGTTTTCTGAAGTTTTATGTACTTTTATTGTGTGATATTTTCGTAGGCCAACAAAGATCTCAAAACACCCTCAAGCAGTGAGATTCTTCAGTGCAGATTCTCCAGTCACAGATTGGTACAAGGGTCAGCTTAGCAATGCCTTGCTCTACATCAACAATGCAGATGTTGCTTTTGTAATGTACTATGCACCTTGGGATGCCGAATCACAGTATGTTAAACAGGAATTTGAAAAGGCTGCTACTATTATGGGTGATCAAGTGAGTTTCAATATCATTAAAGATCATACTGATTTTGAGTTAGCTTTCTAAGTTTATGTACATCAAATTTATGTGCATCATATTGAGTCTACTGCTCAAAAAAAAAAAACAAAATTTGTGACTTAAACTTCAACCATTACTTAAACATTCTCAAAAAAGCTACATTAAACTGCTACACTTGCTAGAAGCAACTATCATGAGATGAAGTATTTGCCACAGTTAGAAAATTCTCAATCCATTTTTAGTTCCCATTCTTTCGTAGATATATACTGAACATTGGCGATGTTCACCATATTTTTTATATTTATACAATGTTTATAATTACTATATGATACTGGCAAAATCCAAAAATAACATTGCCACCAAGCAAAAAGAAGCAGAAGATCTTTTGTTCAAACATATTTTACTAATAATTCTTACTCTTACGTCAAATCATAATAAACACAGGTGGCTTTTTCCTTGTTTTGTATAGGTAAATAAAATGCTATTTTGTTCATGTGTGTACAAATTGTGACTGGTTTAAAAGCAATGTATTTAGCAATTGTATTTATAGTGTCAGTTGAGAAAACAATATTATGTGTAACAATGGTTTTCACTGACAAAATTTCTTAATATCACTAAGATCAGTCAACCTGTTATGTTGTGTTCATCATCATCACTACCGGGCACGGGTCACCTGTCGGGCGCGGGTTTAGGCCATAATTATGTTACTATAACAAAACTAAAATATGTTCAGAAGTTGAAAGGAAAAAGTTTATCTACATGCAATGTGTATGAAAGAGAAATTGTAATTATGAAAATTTTTATACTATAGGCAAAACTTTCAGAGAAATGTTCAAGTGCTAAAGTGATGAGTATAATATCATGATCATTATGATTTAAACTTAGGTACATTATAATAATTTTTATTTTTCCTTTCTTTATCCTGCGATCAGCCTTCCTGGCTATAAACAGATGGGTTGTATGAAGTTCATAATGGAAAGGGTGCTACTCCCAGTGGAGCGCTGCCGTATAGGTTATGTAGTCAGGTATTTTACTGACTACCGTGGTCAAAGACGTCACGCTTTTTTTTTAGTCGCCGTACGCTTTCAGGCATGGTGAGCTGCTTGGCTAGTCGATTTGGGTGATATTCTAGCTGAGTTCTGTATTTATCACTGTAGGAGGCTATTTCTTCTGTAACTGTGGGCATGTCAAGAAATTCGTGGATCTCCATTGTTTTTATGAACCATGGCACATTTGATATCTGTCGGAGTATATTGCTCTGCACCCTTTGAACAATCATTATATTAGAGGTACTAGCAGCGCGCCAGAGTTGTATGCCATAAAACCAAATTAGCTTTAGTATTGCTATGTAAATTAGAATTTTGTTATCAATGGCCAGTTTAGAATTTCGTCCAATCAGCCAGAGGAGTACTTTGAATCTCAAATTGATCTCATCTCTTTTGGTTAGGATGTGTTTCTTCCAGGTTAGTCTGCGGTCCAAATGCATTCCCAGGTATTTCACTGTATTCTGGTGTGGGAGTTGAGCGCCATATAAGGAGACCGGTGGGCAGTCTTCTTTGCGGAGAGTGAAGGTGACCTGTACTGATTTAGTCTCATTAGCAGCAATTCTCCATTTTGCTAGCCAATCCTTAATTTCGTTTAAGCTGCTTTGAAGGAGTCGGGATGCTTCAACTGGACATTTACTTGAGGCATATAACGCCGTGTCATCAGCGAAGGTAGCAACGGTGGCCTTTGGGTTTTGTGGCAAGTCGGCTGTGAAGAGTGTGTACAGAACAGGTCCAACCACGGATCCTTGTGGAACACCTGCAGAGATTTCATGAAATCCTGATGTGTGGTCGCTATCCCTAATTTGAAATGTTCTGTTACTAATGTATGAGCTCAGGACTCCATAGAATGTGTGTGGCAGTAAAGATTTTATTTTATATAGCAACCCCTTGTGCCAAACCTTATCAAAGGCTTGCTGTATGTCAAGGAAAGCCGATGAGCAGTATTCTTTTTTCTCGTATGACTTTTTGATTGCTCTGCATACTCTGTGGGCTAGTTCTACAGTTGAGTCCTCTTTTCTAAATCCAAGTTGGTGGTCAGGGACAACAGAATTTTCCCGGAATACATGTGTCAGCCTATGTAGCAAACACCTCGCAAACAGCTTGGACATAGCAGGAGTAAGCTGATCGGTGTATATGAAGTGATATCGTGAGAAGATTTACCAGGTTTGTGGACCATTATAATTTGGGATATTTTCCACAGGTCTGGGAAATGAGAGTAGGACTCTCATGATTGCATTGAATAGCATTGTGAGGTATACTAATCCTTTGCACGGCAATTCTTCAAGGACTTTCTTGTCGATGAGATCGAACCCTGGTGCTTTGTGGTTGTGCATGAGTTTAATATATCTACTTATATCCCTGGGCGTCATTACTTTTAGAGGAAGGTCAAGTCTGAAGTCTTGGTTAAGAATGGTGCCATATCTGCTTCATCCGCATTCGGTTTAGCAGGATTTGGTTTGAAGACTTGACTCAGATGGTTTGCAAGGGCCTCCATATTGCTCTGTCCAGTTCTAGCCCATTTACCATTTTGAATCCGAAGTGGCGGCTTGTGCTGTCAAAGGCTGATCAAAGTTTTTGCATGCCTTCCATAGAGAGTAATTCGTCGCTTTTGTTGAGGTAAGACCCTCTAGGTAAGTCTCCAGAGAGATGTCATTAGCTTCTGTTATGAGGCTTTTTAATTCTTTAGCTGCTCTATTAAATGCTGTTTTGTTACTACGATGTGTGCGGATATGCCAAACTCTTCTCAGTCTTCTTTTTTCTATAATTTTTGTACAGATGCATTCCGAGTAGACTTTACGTGGTGGTGTGCGTTCAGCTGCTTCAAGAGTACACATCCAGCAGCATTCTTGGATAGTTTTAGTAATGGACATAGTGGCGTCATCGATATCAGTTTCAGTTTTTAGAGGAATCTTCAAGTCAAGCCAACACATTATAATAATTAAGATTAAAATAGAAGGTAACTTCGTAAAAGGCAGTGCAGGTTGCCTACAGGAATGTTGAAAACCAATCACAATTACATTTTTCTTAATAGTAAAGCACTACCACTGTGCACCATTCTGACATATGTACTTCGATGTTATAAAATTGGTAGAAAAGAGTTCTGTATTTAAGAGGTCAGTAAATTGTTAATAATGCCTTAGATGGTTTTATCAAATTTTTTTGAAGCCCCACTACAATTTAGCTTGTGGATCTAAAAGTAAAACTGCCGTCCTCTAAGACGTGGCTAAAAGACAAATAGTCAAATAATCAATATAAATACCAAAAAATAGAGAACAAAATTATTTTTTAAAAACCGTTAAAATTAGTTAACTTGTTCGACTTATCGGAACTTACCCCAACAATGCATAGCTGAAATATCATCAAACAATTTCAGTATTCTAAAACTGAGTTATTGTTTTTTCTGATATCTCACAATAATATTTTGTCACTTAGCCGCGTTTTAGTTAGTGGACGGCAGAAAATGTCTCTAAACAGTAACTAGTAAACCCTGTCCTGGAACGCATAATTTGAATTGCCATTTAAATTAAATGGTTTATGTATGTAAATAAATGATTTTGATTGAATGGCTTTGGAGAGGGATAGTGTAAGCTATCACAAACTCGAATTTTTTTTCCAAAATATCGTTTGTTGGAATTTTCATTACACCGAAAACCGAATTATAACGAAACATTCTTTCAGAATATGTTGGATGTTTATCGCAAAGACACGATTAGGTTCGGTTAGGTTAAGTTAGGTTTAAAAGAAAAAAACATTTCCCCCTCAAAATTACTTTCGAGGTTATGAAAATTCGATCAAACGTTATTTCTGGAAAATGTCATTTCAGACTACTGAATATGATTTGCGATTTTTTTTAATGTCTAAGGTCCTATACGTTGCTTAATAAGTAGACAAGGAAGTTATTACTTACCGACCAACAATTTAGGACTATAATTATGTTTCCATCCTCTAAGCCCTTAGAGGATGGAAAAAAAAGAAATCTGACACACAGGCAATCTAAAGTAACCATAGTAAAATCCGGCAAGACTTATGAATAAACAACTTAAATGAGTCTAATTACATGAGATATTTGGGCTATTGTATGATTTATAGGCAGAAAAATAACACATGTGTATTGTAACATTCGGTCGGTTTCCGATTTTCTATTGCCGCAACCCCTAAATGCTGCAGCGACGAATTTTAATCAATACTTAATTGTTCTCACTGTCAATATTTATGTCATTACAATTCATGCGAATAATTCAATAAAACATTTGGCCAAACATTGGTTTTGACATTTGATGTACGTACATACTACGTTTACTAGTCTGCATTTTTTTTTATTAAATAAACCTTGTTAGAACTACTTGAAATATTTTCAGGTACATTTTTCTGCCATAAATTGCTGGAATCCAGGGAGTGAGTGCAGGTTGCAGCACAGTAAAATACCTTCATGGCCTATTTTGATGGCATATACAATAAATTCTAGAGGAGTGCTGTATAAAGGTAAGTGACCTTGTATAAAACAATTGTTTTGTCATGAAATGTTTTGTGTAAGATTAGATAATACAAATTTATGATAACCTTAAGAATATCCATCAGGCACTGAAAGTCATTATTGAGTAACTGATAAATGTAATTAGTTTTACCAGTAAAGTAACACATGAATATTTTTTTATATTTCGATGGCCCCATTTAATAAACATATGTTATCTACACGTTTATTACGTATTCTATACGTTTATTCGGTAGGGCCGGAAATTTGTGTTATTAATGTTAATATGTAAATATTTATTTCATATCAATCTCTATGGCTGGAGTTAATCCGCTGGTAACAAGCTTTTTTAGTTATTTAAAAAAAAGTTTGGTGGTAATCTAATGGTTTGACCTATCGCCTTTGAAGCAGTGGCCGTGAGTTTGATTCCGGGCTTGCACCTCTGAGTTTCTCGGAATTTAAGTGCGAAATTTAATTTGAAATTTACCATGAGCTTTTCAGTGAAGGAAAACATCGTGATGAATATTGCACGTCGAAGAAGGTTTAAAACCCTTGAAAAACGTGTGAAGTCCCCAAAACGAATTGGGCCAGGGTGGTGGATTATGGCCCAAAACCCTCGCCTGAGAGGAGACCTGCGCCCAGGAGTGGTACGTATAAACGGGTCGGGACGTATAAACGGGGATGCTGATGACGTACTAAGTTTATGTAGTAAAATGTGACAAGTTGGGTTTGGAGGCATTGCAATACTCAAGAGAGCCAATGAATATTAACAATACGACATTAAATGGTATTATTTTTTCTATTCTCAAATACAAAATAAATTGGACCGGGTTCGATTCCCTAGTTTTATTTTCCCTATGAGTGTAGAAAATCAAACAAAGACGTCCGAAAATTGAATTAATTATAATAAAAAAATAAATTACAATTTAAAATAAAAAATTTAAAAAAAAATGGTACGGGTAACGGCACATCAGACTTCACATTTTTGTTCGAAAATCGCCTCCAGTGCAAAGGAACAAGATACGTCAATGTGTAGCTTAATGTGCTGGCGTGTACATGAAATTATTTTTTTTACGGGTCGTGGTAACGGGCCTTAAGACCTTAGGTTTTTTGCGCTTCCGACACAGTGCTCCCCTGTATAATTGCCGGCGCAGAAGGAAGGCCACAGGACGCTCAGCAATTGGTAGCCGTTAGAAAAGTAGCGGAAATGTTTTGTCCTAGTCCGGACTTAGTCAAGCTCCAGGTAGTTTAATCCGAAAGTAGCTTTTCATGATGGTAATAATTATCCCGAAGGTGACTCCTGGAACGGACAACCAACGATAAGTAGTAACAACGGGTAGTAACAGCCTCCGTTCTGAAAGCCCAACAACGGTAAAAGAGAATTAGGCAAGCATCTACGTAGTAGCAATTGCCGTTGGCGCGACGAGAACGGAGTTGCAGTTTAAAATGTGTAAAAATATATAAAAAAAGAATTTAGATAATAAGGCTGAAGGTCTAGAAGTTTACTTATTACTGGAAAATAAAATATAAAGCTAAATAAGCCAAAGAAAACGTCTGGTGAAAAAATACAAAACAATTTGATCGTTACAATTTGAAATTTTGATGATGCAATCTTTAAAATTTCTCAAAGCGTATGGTACATAGGGCGCACTACAAGTTTCCGGAACTAGCCACTTACATAAACAATATTTAAAAAGTAATTACAACATTTGAAAATGGAACATCTGACCGTCACTTGTTTTTACATTGTGGCTTCATTTTAGAAATTGGTTGTCTACATCACCATGGATTTAACTCGTGAAAATTTTCGTAGTATGATTTTCTACGACTCCAAGTGTAGTTTAACAGCTCAACGGAGCTTTGCTCGGCTTCAAACTGCTTTTGGCGATGAAGCACCATGCAAGACGACTATTTATAGCTGGTTTGCAGAAATCAAACGCGGTCGTGTGAATCTCAGTGATGAATTTCGTAATTGGTCGCCCGTCCACTGCTGTGAACAACAAAAACATCGATGCTGTACGCCGTATGATCAAAACAGACAGGCATGTGACATACCATGAGATTCGGGCATCTTTAGGCATAGCCATGAGTCAAATACAATCAATACTACACAAACATTTGGGTGTGAAAAAGCTGTGCTCTCGGTGAATCCCACATAATTTGACTGAGGTTTAAAAAACGGATCGCGTCGCTTGGTGCAATGCCATGCTTACCAGATTCAACGAAGGGGCGTTAAATTTGGTGTGGGACATAGTAACAGCTGACGAAACATGGATTTATAGTTACGATTCAAAAACAAAACAGCAATCGAGCGTATGGGTCTTTCGAGATGAGCCGAAACCAACCAAAGTGGTGTGCGTGCAAAGTGCCTCTAAGCGGATGATTGCTTCTGTTTTTAATAAAACTGGACATGTAGCTACTGTTGTTTGGAAAATCATTGTACCGTGAGTAGTGATTGGTACACGACCATTTGTTTGCCGGAAGTTATTGACAAACTCCGTAAAAATAACCGTACGCCGTATCATCTTGCACCACGATAATGCCAGTTCTCACACGGCCAGAGAGACAAATGAATTTTTGAAGGTGATCAACGTTGACCTTATGACCCATCCCGCGTACAGTCTCGACCTGGCACCTTGTGACTTTTATTTCCAAAAATTAAGAACCAGTTAGGCGGTCAACGATTTTCATCATCTGAAGAGGCTGTCGAAGAGTCTAATTCGTTAATAATAAAAGTGTCGCACTTTTGAATATACGTAACGGTTTTTTATATCGTGAGCGCGGCCAAGCCGAGTGTGGACTAGCTCTGAAGACGTTCTAACGCAATTTGAAGAGCTTGGCCGCCGCCGGCTCCGCTTTCGGCGCTTCCCTCGCCTTCCCTCTCTGCGTCTCCGACATCATTCGAAAATGCAACGCAAGCTGCCATAGATTTAACCAGTTTTGTCAATAGTATTATGTCTCTATAGTCATGGTTTTAATTCTTCATAATTTATTATTATCAAAAAAATATATATATTTGTTGAAGATAATATTTGCGTTAATTTTTAATAATGTTAAATTTGCAAAAAACAGTTTTTTCTAAAATCAATTTAACAACGTTGTAACGATCCAAAGTGAAAAAGCTATTATTGTCTTTCCGTCAATTAATAGCTTGTCAGCCTTTTAAAGGTTTTGTTTTAATGCGAAAGACTGTTTTAAAACATGCACATTTTTTATGGTTTCAATATTTAACAATTTATATTATTTCTACTCAAACTTCTATCTTGTAACTAACTAGTTTTTCACATTAGTATTTACCGTCTAGAAGCATCGTCTTTTCACATTGTTGTTCTTTTAATTTTACATTTAATTTAATTTTGTTTCTTACTTTTGCAAGTATTGTTTGTTATCTTAGATGCGAGTTTTATCTTGTTAAATAGCACCTACAGTAGAAGTATTGTATCCGGAGATAGAAGCCTGGAGATCCGTCACACAGGTTAACTTGTATGGACTCCAGTCTCTTACCAAGCTTTTTCTTTTCGTAGTAAAAATTCAAGTTAGCTATTTACAAGTTTATTTATGTAAGGACCTTGATAAGAGACAATAAAGATTATTATTTAAGCAATTTCAAATAATTATGAAAACCCATCAGACTAATCTCTACTGGGTGGTTAACACAAATAGTGGTGGTGGTACATCTTTCAATTTGTCGGACTCTAGAAACTTCTATCTATCACTTAGGTACCACTTGACTCGTGTAAACCGACTTTAACTATAGGTAGAAATAAGTAATCTACCTGTAATTAGTTCACCCCGATAAAAAAGATTTTGCAAATGCCTTAAAATCGCGAATTAACTGTTGTAAAAATTGATTCTTTTAATAGAATAATTTTAATAGAAGAGAAGATCGAAGGAAAGAGAGACAGGTGAAGACGAAGCTGTTTACATTAATAGAGAAAAATTGGATGTCGTGCCGTTTCAGGACCTCAAAGTAAGAGCGCTGAACAGAGATGTTTGACGATTACTCCATTAAGAAGAGCTCCGCTCTTAAATAAGAAAGTAAAAAGAGGTCAGGGTCCACCTCTAACTTGTCATTGTCGACATTTAGTTTACTGTTGTTTAGTTAACTGGTAGGGCAAGGACCTTCGCGCGCGGCTTCTAGTTTTTTTGATAAAAAATTTATAAATAATAAAAATATGTCGTATTTCAGGGCCGAGGGAAGCCCATCACATGGTTAGATTCTTAGAGCTGGTAATTGAACCTGTTGAAAAAATATCCACTACAGAAGAACTTGTGACTGTACTGGCAATATGTGACGTATGCATAATATTTTTTTAAATACATTAAAATAGATATTCAAAAATTTAGTAATGTAAAGCAAACTGTCTTGTTATACAGTAAAATTAAATTGAATCTTTTTTTATTCTACAAGTTGAATTTGACGATAGGTAAGTTACACTTTTACTTAAGCATATAAATATATTATTTCAGGTTACGGCTGTAGCTTTTATTCCAATGGCGCCAACATCAAAATATTACAACACCTGGTATCAAGTAGCACTCAAGATGAAAGAATTCGATTCCCATGGTGAATTCTGCTTTACGATAGTGACATCTGAAGAATTGTCTAAGGGAATAGGTGCGACTCATTTTCCGAGTGTCCGTCTGATGCTTTGGAATGATACAAAGGTGACACACTAACATCTATTGACTTACAATTGTTGCGCTCTCTATTATCGGTACTAGTTGGTTTCTCAAGCTCCATGTTTAAAAACGTTACCCATGTAGTTAGATTGTATAATATTAAACTGATAATCCGCTGTAATGCATCGCCGGTTCAGTCTAATGATTGAGTCCCATTTACCAATATTTTTTATTGTGATTATGAAAACAGTTCATACTCGCTCATTCAAATTTTAGTATTTAATGATTTTCCATTGTTTATTGTGCTTATTGATCGTCTTTTGACATTTGTATATTTTAACGATTTCCGGACTATTCTAGGATTTAACAACAGAATGCTTTACTAAAAATCATGATAATATAAATATAACATAAAATGTTCCACGAAATGATATTCTATCATATTCTTATATTATTGCGACAACGACAGTTATTATCTTGTTACGGTTTGAATTATTGTAGTAGTTTTACATTTTTATTTGATATTTCATATTAAGTTCAATTTTTTAATGAATCACTTTCAAAAATAAATCTTGGTTAATATTATGATGGATTATAAGAAGAAACCAAGATTGACTTAAACACACTACAACAACAAAACAGATTACGTTGGCGCCATCTGGGTGACCGACTTCTTAAACTGCTCGGTTTGCATTCTTTCAAATATAATATATTATACTTCTAAAACAATGTAAACCGTGATAAAATGTTAACTTGCACCGAGTAATGTTAAGTACCTATGAGAGATAACACCAACTTTGTTGTGTTATATGTATATGCGTAACTGCTATTTTGTTAGCTATGCGCAGCTATGTGTTAGTTCTTATAACAAATTTATGTGTATTACCTACTAAACTTGTCATCGTCACAGTGAGTTTTTTTCGTAAATCTCGAAATTAGTATCGAAACATTTTGAAATCAAACATCCACCTAAACCTAGTTCTTTATTTAATTTAATAATTTTAATACAGGAATACAGGATAAGAGAAGAATGCCAACAAGAATGGAACGACACAAGTATAATAAAGTGGTTACTGGAGAACTATGACGCTCCAGTGGGGAGGGTAGTTCCGATGTGGAAGAAAGCATTCAGTTTCGAAAAATTTGTTGATGGGAATCCTATTTTAATATTGTTTACTCCACTCAATCCTATATATGTACAAATTCCTAATTACCTACTGGTAAGTATTTATTTTTACGTTTCTACAAAATATATCACCAATTAAAGATTATGTTTAAAATTAATAATAATAAAAATTTTAATTAATATTAATAATTTAAAATTAATAATATAAAAATAAACGAATACTATGTGTTTATTTTTCAACAATATAATTATTCTAGCTTCGCGAAGTTGCCATGGAGTACTATATGTACTGCAGAAACAATGGGTCAGAAAGAATGAAAGAACAGAGTATCCAATGGACAAACGAGAAAATAGGCATTGTTAAAGTTCAGCGCTACATTTACCTAAATGAAGGTTACGAAAAGTTATGCGAAGGTGCCCAGAAAACACTGAAACCACAAAAACCGAAATATAACAAGAAAGACGACGTTTTCATGAATAATAAGTGGCGTAACACAACACAAAAACACAAGAAGGCCGCTGCAGTGAATTCTTTAGTTAAGAAGGGCTTGAATCCTCCCAAAATTATACAAGGAGCTGAAGATGGATCTGAGGTATTGGCCATAGTAGAAATGGTACAGGAATGTGATACTAAAACGTTGCCCGCAGAAAAGAGTGTCTATGAAAATCTCGATCAGTGTCAGTCATACGATGAATCAGAATTGGATCCCGCTTTCTTGAATATGGCTACGTAAGTACCAAACATAATATACAAATCTGCAAATATAGATTTTTTTATATATGAAATTTTAATTTTTACACTATGACTTATCTCATGAATATATATATTTGCCAGTACATAGTCGGCATAGTCGCAATTGCGTAAACTTTTATTAACTAGTTACTTGTTACGTGTTGCATGTTAACTAGTTAATCCGTAAATTACACTGTGTTTGTCATATTCCCTACTAAACTGCCAAGTGTTACTTTTTTTTATGATACCAAGTGACGGGACGAACAAGTTGTGCGCTTGGATTACCAAGCGCCAAGCGCTTACTAAAGCGGCACGCCTGTCCATAACAATGCATGTGTTATGCAGTTGCAGTGCTACTAAGAGTTTTAAATCACAAAGATCTGAGGAGCACTGCCACTGCACCCGTCAACCTGAGACAAAAGTTGACAAGACCCATGTACCTGTAATTAAGGTAGGGTGGCAGTACCTTCCTTGGATGAACTCCTTTAGAAGGAGCTCTATTGCGACTACTGTGACCTATTACTAATGACACTGTAGTTGAGCTAACGCTCGTTCCTCGTTATATTTTATCGAACGTTTTTCAATAAAAAATATAAGACGTGAAATGATTAAAGTCATGTTTTGCCAAAAAAATTGCTGTTTTTAAGAAGTTTCACAAAATCACAAAACGAATCTTTCGAGCGAGCATTCAAACAATTGAATCGTCGAACCCATTAGTCCAGCAAAGAATACAAGTAGTCGATTTTAAAGATCTTGAGCCATTCTATTTTGTAGTGTATATTATACCTTATAAAATACATTGACGTTTTCTGTCATCAAATGATCAACTTAAAATTTCGGAGAAAAGGTCATCCTGTTCTCACTTAAATTCTAAAAAAAAAACAGTGAACATAAAAATGTCACTTAAACGGACTCTATATTTAAAAAATATTTAAAATAGTATAATATCATTGCTTAAAATAGTGTGACTATACTGCTGCCTTCCGACAGATCGGGTCGTGACATGTGACAGTACAAAAATCACCATCCTCACTTGCTACAATGTTACGCGATGGTGTACGTTCTTGTCACGCCATAAATGTAGACTACACGGCGAAATGTAGTTTCAAAGGCCCCGATTCGTAGATCACAGCGTTGCCTGACATTAGGTCGTGTCATTTGTTTGAGTGACAAAAACCGTCCACGCTCATATTTTTGTCACGCGTATTTGTTACGGTCACGGAGTTCGGTGCGTTAAATGCCACAAAAATTTGGATCCACGCTTACATATCGCATATACAAAGGTTATATTTACTGGGATGATGGGTAAAACGGAAAGTGCGTAACACATACATTAATTAATCCATTATACGTATGTATTTTTGTATCACGGAACATTACTTCCATTATTTCTTGAGCTTGGGGCTACGAGTGTTGTGTGTGTGTTATTTAAAAATGTATATATACATGTAATGCATTTGTGCTCAAAAAATGTATTTTATGTGGAATGAGCGATAAATCTATAGTGTTTTTGTTTAAAAGAAACATTAATATCGAGTTCTTAGCTATTCGCGATTGTTACACATAGGAAATGAAACTATTTTTCCGGATCTAAGAACCCGTGACTATGAGACCTGTAAAGTACCCGAAACGTTGATTTGTTTGAAAAAACAAATATACGCGATTTAGATCTGGAAAAATAGTTGAATTTCTTATGAGAAACATTAATGTTCTCAGGTTCTACAGCAAAGAAACATCAATGCTACCCCTTGAAGATGATCCGTTATCAGCTGAAGGACTAGTTCATGACCGCCTTCGTCATTTCTGCAAAGTCTTTAACTTCGCTAAAGAGTGGGGTCCGCCAATATTCCCCGCGGTCGTTAACGAAAAAAATCTTAAACGCATTTCAGGCTTATCATGCAAAATGAACGTCACTTTGAATATGATTGTAGTAGACAGTGTGGAGAATCATCATTTTGCTGAATCACTAGGAATAGATATAAAGAATATGAAGGATATGACAGCTGTCGTTATTTTAGATACTAAGGTATGCTCTATACTAAAATTTTATGTTTAAAAGGATTGTTCTTATCAGAAAATTAATTTAATACAAGCATGAAATATTATCAATAAAAAAATTCTCACCGTATTAATGGCGCGTCAAAATTGTTATCTGTACCCTAAAATCGCAAGCTTCAGCGTTATTCTTTATATATATTATTGTATTTTATAAGTAGGATGGGTTAAGGTGTCTCAGTGGAATTCTGTATTTGAATTGTATGTATTTTTATTGAAAACTTGTCCCTGAATACAGAATATCGTAAGGTTCTTATGGTTCTTAGGTTATTATTATGTGCCTTTTTCGAATTAAAGTGTACCTGTATTATAATTATAAAATATATTCACGCGTTTCTGTAAAACTTGAATGACTCCGAAGCTTGGTGTTTAGAAAACAGTACTCTACAACATAGTCCAACGTGTTAGTTTTTATGTTTTCTATTTTAATAGTATTAAGCAACATTTAAATTTTATTTTCAGCATGAAACGCAATATGTTATGAGTGAAGAGTACAGTGCCAAATCGATAAGGGATTTTATCCGTAATTTCCACTACAAAAAACTGAAGCGATCTTTACGAACGCACGTGGAGGATGCTTTGCATACGCACTACTTTGGCTCCGACGACTCTACAGATCAAATGGAGATACATAATAGCACGATACAAGTCACAGAACTTACTACTAAAACATTCAGGCAATTTGTTACATCTCCGGGCAAGGTTAGTTGTCAAGAGATTTACCTATAGTTGTTAAATACTACGTAATCTAAAAGCCTATTTTTCCATCTAATAAAAGTTAGCAGCCATACATTTTTTTTATAACGCCTGGGCGTGGCGAAACCAGTGCCACCCAATGAATGATACGACAACGTAACTTGCGCATGCTTCAGTACATAGAAATATTGTAAGAAAGCAGACGCGCCTGGTGTGAAATATCAATATTCTACAACATTTTTCATTGATTTCTAGTTGCTATATTAATCTATCACAACTAGGCGCGGTTTTGTCTCCAAGTAGAGGGTTTACTATGTAGGCCGTCACGCAATGCGGATTATGGATTTTATTTATGATACCAAATGGCGGGACGAACAAGTCGTGCACCTGGTGGTAAGCGACAAGTCTGTTGATAGCAGTTGCAGTGTCCCTCATATCTTTAAATCGCAAAGATCTGAGGGACACTACCACTGCGCCCGTCACCATGAGACATAAGTTGAAAAGTCTCATGTACACTCTGTGCCCTAAGATACCTGACCCCCTAAACTATATTAAACGACCTTTTGGTACTGAGCACAAAAGTGTGGAGAAAAGTGTTAAACAAACTTAATCTTTAATCTGTGTGCCGTAAAGTGCATTTTCGCATGACTTCCTGTTGGCATCATTAGCGAATGACGTTTTAAGAATCTTTTTAAGCCAATTTGATCTTTAACGTATAGTTCTTACTTAAATACAGAATACAAATTTCAACCTGCTAAGCTAAGGTTACCGTGGTCTAGCGGTATAGGACTTGCTTTGCAAATATAGGTTCATGGTTCAAATCTTGTTCGAATCTTGATCGACATGAAAAATAATAATATTTTATTTTTTTATCTCTGTATAGACCTCAGAACAATAAGTATAGATGTAAGAAATGTCTTAGAACGTTATTTTCTCGATGAGAGTCAACACAAATAATTTTTTTTAATATGAATTTTTCAACGAAAGATGTTTCACTTTAAATTGTTAATATTATTGACATAAAGCACAATGTTCGTTCACTAATCGATTCCTTCGGTGCGGAGAAATATGCGATCATCGCTTTATAGTTGCCTGAGATGGGTACATAGCAATTAATAATGCGTAGGGTGGGTAAGTATAGATTAAACGAATCATGAAATCGCTCTGCAGTTTGCATACGATCGTGTCCTCTGTGATTGACGCATTGTGTTCCACGTATCCTAATTATCTTTTCTGTTTTTAATTGATTCCAAAGTTTTCTTTCCTTTTTTAATATGCCGCACTTAACTGAACTATTGAAATTAGAAATCGTTGTTCTGTATGAACAAGATGTGCCAATAAAGGAAATTGCGAGGCGCCTCCATATAGCGGTAAGTATTATTATTTATATTTGTCACAGTGGCTTCAATTTTTCGAAAAGGTGGTCCTTTTCCTTCCCCTTCTCATGCCATGGATTTAACGAATTATTAGATTTAAAAAATATAAATCTACAAATATAATCTAAATTCGAAACAAAATTATGACAACTTAATATACGGTGTTATAAATTGTTTGTTCTCAGAGAAATACTGTGAAGCTATGGATCAAGCGCCATAGAGAGACTGGGTGTGTCCATCGTAACCAGCCGGGCCCAACACCGGTGATGTTTACGTTTGCATCCAGCCGTCATCGAGGGGTTGTCAGTAGACATATTGAAGATCCCTTTGCTACTACGCGATCAACTGCTCAAGTTCATGAGATATCAACAAAAACTGTAAGAAAACACTTGCATGCTGCAGGTTTTAAAACATACAGGCCAGCTAGAAAAATAGAATTAAGACCCGCCCATCGCCAAGATCGAGTTCGTTTCGCACGAGAGTATTTAGACTTCGACTGGCAAGATAATGTTGTAGTTTTTACCGATGAAAAAGCTTTTAAGTCAGACAAAGACGGTCGCAAAATTTTATGGAGACGACGAGGAGGACGTTATAACGAAGTGAACGTTTTACCAAACAGATCAAGTGGAAGAATAACGTTAGGGTATTGGGGATGGATGTCATCCATGGGTCCCGGGGAACTGTTTGAAGTGGGTGGTCGTTTTAATAGTCACACATATGTCGAACTATTGCGTGATGTAATGTTGCCCACAGTGCGCATTGCTTATCCTGACTCTCACATATATTTCGTGCAAGATAACTGTACTGTCCATCGCGCCAGGGTAGTGAGTGATTGGTTTGCATCACAAAACAATATTTCAGTTATTAATTGGCCATCTAAGAGTCCAGACTTGAACCCAATTGAAAATTTATGGGGGCAAATGATTTTAAACTGGGACTCATCTAATGTTAGATCTAAAACAAACTTAGAGGAGCTTGTTGTGTCTACATGGGAGTCAATGCGTGGTGGAGATTTATGCTGGTCGATGGTCGCAGGCATGAGAGACCGTTTACAACAAGTGATCGATTCCGAAGGCGCCCCTTTACTTTGGTATTAAAATTATAATGGTTAAATAAGTAAATACTTTTTGTGTAAATGTGTGTTACGAGAATAGTTATTAAATTATAAAGCCAACACTAGGAAAAAAAAAGCTATACGAAATGTGAGTGATGTTATTGTTAATAATTTAACATGTAATTCACTGCACTACTGTATAATTTTGAAAAATACAGCCTGTAAAGCTACTACAATTAATAATAAAATTAGTTTTTCTAATATTTTGTCAATATAGACTTTGTTCTACTATATTATCTTACTTGAACCTGTCTGATAATAATAAGTTAGATAGATCTAATTGTTAAAATTGTATAACACTAGTCAGATTAAAAAATGTATGTATAGCAGTTGCTGATACAGGCTGTAGGTAGATTTTTTACTTTTTTACTAATTATAATTTACTTCTTTACTAATTATAATTTAATCAATTATAATTTAACAGCTACTTCTTTACTAATTATAATTTATCACAATAAAATAAAGTGTTTGTTCAATTACCAACGAAATTATTTTTTTGCTTCATTCACCCAATGTCTGTTGACTCTCATCGAAAAAATAACGTTCTAAGACATTCTTTACATCTTTACTTATTGTTCTGAGGTCTATACAGAGATAAAAAAAAATATTATTATTTTTCATGTCGATCAAGATTCGAACCATGAACCTATATTTGCAAAGCAAGTCCTATACCGCTAGACCACGGTAACCTTAGCTTAGCAGGTTGAAATTTGTATTCTGTATTTAAGTAAGAACTATACGTTAAAGATCAAATTGGCTTAAAAAGATTCTTAAAACGTCATTCGCTAATGATGCCAACAGGAAGTCATGCGAAAATGCATTTTACGGCACACAGATTAAAGATTAAGTTTGTTTAACACTTTTCTCCACACTTTTGTGCTCAGTACCAAAAGGTCGTTTAATATAGTTTAGGGGGTCAGGTATCTTAGGGCACAGAGTGTACCTGTAATTTCAACAGTACCTTTACCCTTGAAAACCGGAACGTAGTAATGCTCGCAACACCGTTTGGCGGCAAGAATAGAGGTGGCAGTACTTCCCTGAAGGAACTCTTTGACAAGATTGATCAAATCTTCGAAGAGTATTGTCAGCCTTTTTGATGTGCATTTTTCATAAACGAAATTGTACTCTTCCATCATCACGTGTGACTAAAATCTAGGTACAAACATAGTCATCAAATCTAGCTAATACAACTATTAAATTTGATGGCCTTATACAACGCCATCAACTTTGATATTCACAAATACTGTACTGTAATATTTTGGGGGTTACTGTCGTTGGTACTGTCTGCGCTCTCTGAACTATTACAGAAATTTACCGTCACGGCACCATCTCAAGGTGGGTCGTTCGATCTTCTTTCTCTTCTACGTCTCGAGTTCCCAAATTCCAAAGTCCTGCCTTTCGACGCTTATGTCTAAAATAATAATAATATTATGTGCGAGACAACCACACCAATTGCCTGGTCTCAAAGTAGGGAATTCCCTGTACTATGAGCACCAGAGCAACGGAATTAAGATTGGAGCACTTCCCAGAACACTCAGACCAATGTAGAAAAGTATATTTCCCAAATTAGTCCTATCGGGAATCGAACCCGGGACCTCCGTATCCATAGCCCAGAATGTTATCCGTTTGGCCACCGAGGTCGTCATATATACTATCATTATAAATATTAGAGCGAAACCTTCTCTCTTCACCAACCCGTTAGTCCGATTGCTGGGCATAATTTTCGTCTAAGGAGAGGGCTTAGATCATACCATTATACACATACTAACAGTTTTGGTAAAGTGACTTTTTAAGTAGTTTGGCGCTGTTTTGCCATCCATAATATTGCTGAAGTTTCGCCAAGGTCCGTATATCACTTATCACATTCGCTATGCTTGTGTATAATATTATATGCTCTGGTGTTATGCAACGAATAAAAGTGAGCTATTTTGCCGTCTACAATATTGCTGTAATTTCGGCAAGGTCTGTATATCACTTATCACATTCGCTACGCTTGTGTATAATATTATACTCTGGTGTTATGCAACGAATAAACGTTTACCTCTTCCGAACCGACTCTTTAAAAACGAAAAGGTATTCAAGTTGATTGTACAATTATTTTTTTGTGTGTTAATTAAGTAGCTTTTGGTTTTTTATTTTTTGCAGTCACAGTTCAAGGTCGCATAGCTTAAATGATATGTGATTGCGATCTTTGAAGATAAAAAGAAATATCACACAAAAAGTCTTCTTTTCAGCATCACTGAGTTATAAACTAATTTCTAAAAATAAAATTTACAGGTGTCTATGGTGGCAGTGTGTGGAGGGGCATGTGGCGCGCATACCTCGCGTTCTTTAACTGAAGCGGTTCTTCTGTTGAACTCATGCGGCGTGCCGGCAAGAGCCGCCCGCATAGACGCGCTTCGCCACGACTTGCCTTGGCAGTACACTGCATCATCATATCCTACTATATTTGTCTTCTCCACACGCATGTAAGTACCACTTTTCTCTCATAGACTTCAAAGCGACCTATACCAGGCCTATACTGACTTGGATCCATGTAATTCTTAAAAAATAAAAATTGTAATGCGTACTTAATAGAACAATACGAGTTTTATAAGAACGAGATTAAACATAACTTCTTTCTTATCTATGAGTCAAGCTATTGTCGGTATGGTAATCGCCAACCATCTCAGTTCCGCGCCCTAATTTTGATAGGACACGACATTAACTTTTCCCTTATCTGATCTAAATAATCCCTCACACGTACAATCGTTACAGACACACAATTTCCATAGCGATTTTGATACCGTAGCGCTCAAAGCCACACCACGGAACAAAAAAACAATGGAAGTGCTTAAGACTCGATTTCTATTAGAACCGTTATTGCCAAAACGCACACCAACTAATTATAAACACTATGAACTCTTGATAATGATTCGTCGTAGTTTCTATGATGTCGTCGTAGATGTAACAAATCTGGATTGTTGATATAATTTAAATTTTACCCAGTCGCTATAGCGTTCAAAGTTTTAATACCTTTATTGCAAGTCACGACGCTTTGATTTTATATTGAAATTTTATGGAACGTGTTGTCATCTTGCGGACATTAGCGACAACGACTAACATCTGAACGAATAGAAAGTAGTTATTTCTCGACAACAAATTTCTTTAACGCACACATTGCGTAATGAACTTTATTTCGATCAATTACTCATGAAGCATTTTTCGCTTGGCTTTTGTTCGCTACTAGGAAAATTCGAAATGTTTATTTAGTGTTCCAAAAGATAAAGTTCGACCATATTGCTCTGGGATAATGTTTACTTTCGTTTGTTACAGTACAAAAATCAATCCGATAAACAGTGCATTTTTAATTTTATTGAAATAAGACGTACCGATGATGTTAAATACCACCACGGGTAACATTTTTGGTGCGGCTATCATTTTTGGTCTCAAAACGAGCACAGTAAGGCATTTTTCTACGATTTTAGAGAATTTGATGATTAATGACACAACTATACCGTACAAAGCGAAATAGCGAACTGAGCTCAAGTAGGCACAACTGTCCCTACAGTTGGCACGCGTACGACGCTAACTAACCACTTCTACTGTATTGATTTCTCTGTAAGGCACACGGTGTCAGAAAACTGTCGTGACGTGGTAGGTGCCCAAATATCTGTTTTCATATGAGTATATAAATTAATCTTCATTTTATACAGTATAATGCAGAGTATAATCTCGTTTTTGGGCGGTCATCAATTTTAACGAAATTGAGACCCGGCAACAAACCTGGTTAACAAAGCGCCAACGCCGGGTTAAAATCCCGACGCTTGCCCGTAAACATTGTTATAGCACGGGATATAGATAGGCCGCATATACTGGGTGGGACGGAACAAAAAAAACCGAAAAAAAAAACGAACGACGAAACGAAACGGACGAAAAAAAGCCGAAAATATCACGTTCAGAACCCTACATACATGAGTTTTATTTACTTTAAATGTAAAATCAGAGCAGTTGAAAAATGTTCGTCCAGATTTAATCCTTTCGCGGTGCAACAACCTTAAGCGAATCAATGATGTTAGTACATCTACTGCCCCACAGGCGGCCGTCGTGTTATTGGCACACAGAAGAAATAAAAGTGAGAAGAATAGGTAATAAATAACATAGAACTTAATTTAACCTAAAAGGTTGTTCGATTTGTCCACGTCCCCTTTACATTCCAGACACATTCCTCGGTGTGCCGGTCACACGCCGATGTGGTTTTCCACATAAACAGACTAATACATTTTACATTTTCTTTGTTAAGGACCATTGCGAAATAGTGTTGTTTGCTGATGACACATCCTTGATTTTTAAAACACACAGACATGACATTAACTATGACCGTATTAATGATACCCTCTCTAAGGTAGTTTATTGGTTTAATGCTAACAATTTATTGCTTAATGCCAAGAAGACAAAATGTGTTAAATTTGAATTACCTAACGTAAAATCGACTAGTCCAAGCATAGAAATAAACGGAGAAAAGTTAGACCCTGTTAATAAAGTAGTCTTCTTGGTAGTGTCCTTAGATAGTAAACTTCAGTGGTTTCCACATATATCGACCCAGGCCAGCAGATTAAGCTCCGCTGCATACGCTGTCCGCAGAATACGTGAGCTTACCGATGTTAGTACTGCTAGACTAGTTTACTTTAGTTACTTCCATAGTATAATGTCCTACGGGATTCTCATGTGGGGTAAAGCGGCAGATATTCTAACCATATTTGTATTGCAAAAACGAGCGATTCGTTCTGTGTACCGTCTAGGCTCTCGGGTATCTCTCAGAGAAAAGTTTAAGGAGACTGGTATCATGACTGTGGCATCATAGTACATTTACTCAAATATTTTATATGCCCGTAAAAATATACATAATTTCAATAAGAAAGAAGATATCCATAATATTAACCTTAGAGCTAAGTCCAAACTCATGGTACCACGATTTCGTTTAACCAAGGGTAAACAACTCTTTTATGGGGAACTGTATACGTTTTTACAATAAGATTCCGGAGCATATATTAAGTTTATCATTTCCTAAGTTTAAAAACTACATTAAAAATATTTTGATCGAAAAATCATATTACAAAATTGAAGACTACGTGTTAGATAAAGATGTATGGAAAGACGACATGGCTCCAGAATCCACACAAATTTGATTCAAAGTGTATTCCATAGCATTTAAGTTTATTTGAAAAGAGCAATCCCTAGAGTTTCTTGCTCGTTCTTCTCAGGGAGGTCAGCGTAGTGAACGAGCAGTAGCTTAAATGTGACGTTTTCAAGTGTAAATTTATTTTACCTATGGAATAAATAATCTTTGACTTTGACTTTGACTTTGACTTGCTTAACACAAACACTACTTAATAACGGCACTATTCCAATAAGTTGCTGTCACAACCCAAAAATTAATAAGTAAACGTTATTTTGTGTTGTAAACACGAGAAAAAGATGAAACCACGAGTTACCATACAACCAGGCATATTGAACTAATTTATGAATGAAAAGTGTTGTCAACTAAACTAATGCAAATATCACTAAACAGTAGGTCCATTTAATTATCCAGAACTACATGGTCACAGTACAGACAAAGGTCTCCTGAATAAAAAGAACAAAGAAAGAAAAAAGACTAAGATAAAAATAATATTAAATACTAAACGACTAAACCTAATTAAATACTCGCCAAAAAATAGCAATTTTTTTATCGCCAAATAGAAATAAAAGACACTTTTGATGTCAAAATGTCACATGAAGGAACAAAGTCGCTTAATTGGCAACTCTGTATAGAGATGCGCGCGGCGGCGGCGTACGCGTCGTCATCTAAATGTTAATTTTAAATAGACAATTATGATAAAGAAATAGGTTTCGCAATAATCTTGTTTGGTATAAGTACCATGAGCAACTCAAAAGTAAAAGTAAGTTAAGTTCTGCACACCTCCAAGAACCGATTTATTTAGTTTTACATTACATTTATTAAAATTTCAACTACTCAGCTCAATTCAACAGAAAATTTAGTTTTGAATGTTGATCTCATTAAAATGAACTTTTCGTTTTAAGTTAGTAAACCGGCCCGTACCGGTTTGCTATATAGATTTTAAGACTTTCGTGGTTATTCACTAAATGATTATCACTGATATCAGGTTTCTTACCACGGTATGACTTCTTTTTATTTTACGTCAAGACGTGGTTGTAGCAAAAACAAGAGTACTCAGGAATTGATGGCTGTGAAAGAACTTAGGACTGATACAACAATTATAGTACTGAAGGCAGACAAGGGAAACGCCACTGTGATTAATGGACGTTGAAGAATACGACCCTAAAATAAAAGCTTTACTGGAGGATGTCATGACATACAAACATGTAACATACAACCAGACTGCCAGAGTGAAACGACAGACGGATGCTATTATTACTGAATGTAGGAGCCCTATCCCAGTTGATATTGAAAAACAACTATTACGTCCACGTATCGTTCAACCGCCGAGGCTTTATGGTTTGCCAAAGATCCACAAAACTGACGTACCATTACGATCAATAGTGAGAAATTGGGAAAATCGCGCGCTTGCATTTTTGGATGTATTGGTCAAAGTCCGACAAGACGGTTCACTCGGTCTTCTGTGTACAGAAAACCAACTCATACGGACAAATATTTACATGCCACTGCACATCATCACCCAAAACACCTACATTCGGTCGTCAGGTCATTAACCAATAGAGCTTATGATCTTGGTGATGCACACCACCTACCACAGGAACAGGAGCACGTTAAGACGGTTTTGCGACAGAATGGATACAAAATAAAAACATTTAAACCAATACACAAAAGGAAGAAGCAAATTGACGTACAGAAACTACCAGTTTTTCTGCCCTGTGCATTGACTTATTTGTAAGTCAATGGCCCTATGTACAAGGGGTGACAGATAAAATAGCCAGGTTGCTAAGGAAGTTTTCCATAAAAACTGTTTTCACCCCCTTAACCAAAATAGGAAAAACGTTACGTTCACCAAAAGACCACCTTCCTTTACAAACACCGGGTGTCTATAAAGTGAACTGCAGTTGTGGGAGCTCGTATATCGGTCAGACTAAACGAACAATTGTCGATCGTATGAAGGAACACCTCCGAGCAGTAAAAAACAATGATGCACAGAAGTCGGCTATAGCACAACATCTCACACAGACTGACACTAACCACTGGATCGAGTTGCATAGCCCCCAGGTACTCTCGACAGAGCGTCACTACATACCACGGATGGTACGAGAAGCCATCGAGATCACGAAGTACAAAACATTTAACCGTGTTGAAGGTTTTAAACTGTCTAGTGCATGGAATCCGGTCCTTAGTGCGTGCAGTAATAAAAACAAAAACACCTCGAGTTCAGTTTCGGGTGTGGATACAGTGAGTGTGGTTTGTGTGAAAAAAGTGAGTGACAATGGTAACGCCACAACAAATCGCGATGAAGGTAGTCGTCGACAGCGCAAGAGGGTAGACAGATGTCTGCTTTAAAAGCTGTCATCTGCCGCCGTCCAGTCAACTCGTGACGATGGAGCGTGCAACCGTTCCGAAATATCGGAAAAATAAAAAGAAGTCATACCGTGCTAAGAAACCTGATATTAATGATAGTCATTTAGTGAATAACCACAAAAGTCTTAAAATCTATATAGTAAATTCTTCCAGTGTATATTAAAATTATTTCGAAATGCATTAAAAAATAGATTAGTATAAAAAAAAGAACGATCTTCTGATTATGCTACCAAAAATAGATAACAGGTATCAAGTGTGCATCACTACGCGGTGATAAGTCATGTGATTGGCTACCTTAATTTACTATTTTACGTTAGGGCCGGACTAAGAGTCGTATTCCAGAACTCTACTCAATGCTCAAGTCAGGACTTGAGCAGACTTGAGTATGATTTCAAGCACTGGAAATACGACTCTAACGGCAAGGACTTGAGTATGATTTTCAATGCCACTCTCCAATACTCAAGTCCTGACTTGAGTATTGAGGAGAGTTCTGGAATACGACCCTAAGGGTCGTATTCTAGAACTCTACTCAATGCTCAAGTTAGGATTGCACTGGAAACACAAGCACTGGAAATACGACCCTAATGGCAGGGACTTGATATGATTTCGAGTGCTTTAAACCATACTCAAATCCTGACTTGAGCATTGAGTAGAGTTCTAGAATACGACCCTCAGAGTTACGAGACTATTGTAATTTGAGTACTTGGCGCATGTTGTAGAACGTGTTTACTTAATTTAGTTATGTTTATTTAAATTAGTCTTATCTTATGACGTAGACAATATGAGTTGAACTCCTGACAGGGTCGTTTAGAAAACTTTACTTTTCTTAAGTTGTTGCAGGTAGTTTATGACAACGTATAGTTTAGAAACAACATGTCTCCCGAAGATTCTACAACACGTGCATTTTTTCGGTAAATATTGGGTCTAACTAACTATTGGGTCGTCAAGCACGGAATTTAGGGGTGTTAATTACTCTCAAAATAATAAAATAAAATACCCGCATAATTAATCATCATTCACATGATGATTGATCAAAGAAAGTGGTTGATCAAAGAAAGCGACTGATGGGGTGCTGATCAACGACGGAGGTAAACGACCTATTAAATTACAAAGATTTTGTCCTGAGTACCTCCCGGTAGTTCCCTCCGACAACTGTGTGTAGGGTTGACAACACAGACTTTTCAAGCAAATCTTTTTCATTGAATAACTCGGAAACTATTACACTTAGAGCAAAAAGACTTTCAGTACAATTAAGTACATATTTAAGGGTCGTATTCTAGAACTCTACTCAATGCTCAAGTCAGGACTTGAGTATGGTCTAAAGCACTCGAAATCATACTCAAGTCCCTGCCATTACGGTCGTATTTCCAGTGCTTGTGTTGCCAGTGCAATCCTGACTTGAGCATTGAATAGAATTCTAGAATACGACTCTAAGGCCCGTATTCCAGAACTCTACTCAATACTCAAGTCAGAACTAGAGTATTGCAGTGAGCACTGAAAATCATACTCAAGGCCTTGCCATTAGGGTCGTATTTCCAATGCTTGAAATCATACTGAAGTCTGCTCAAGTCCTGACTTGATCATTGAGTAGAGTTCTGGAATACGACCCTAAGACTCTTCACAGTTTTCGGATTTCTCGGTCGTTCCGTCCCACCCTGTATTTATTTATTTATTATTGCTGCATATACAATTTGTGTTAAATTGTTCTTAATAGTTATCACAGTGATAGTACAATTAAGAATACATTTAAGTACCTATTTAAAAAAAAGGTATTTTTTGCTAAGATAATTTTTACGTAATTTATTGTTTTATTTACTTTTATTTATTGATCCTTGATATGTGTATTTTAGTTACTAGATAAAAAATAACGCATTGATTTTTTTATTATATACCTACATCATAACAGTGTTTATGTGAAGCACATAAAAATGCCTTGTATCGTTTTCAATGTGCCATACATTAAAGCAAACTTTCGATTTTAATATATTGGTGCTATGTACTACAGAAAGAAGATAAACCTGTTTCAAGAATCTCTTTCATCAGTTTCAGTTAATTAAAATACAAAGTTGTTTTGCGAAGTTACCAAGTTCAAATAACAATATCATACATTTATCTTACAGGGATGGCAGCGAGCCGGATAGCCGAGTATACCCGGCGAATGCCCGCATTTCGGCAAGCGGATTGGTCGCTCTGGCGCTTCGTTCACTGGGCACACCACAACATCTACGTGTACGACTTGCGCTTTGCTCACGGACCCAGGTAAATAAAAAGCAACAAGATCACCCGGCCATAGCTGAAATAGCACGCGGAACTAAAGGACGTTGAGGTTTCAAACTTGTGGAAAGGCGGTCTTCAATTGATAAGAGTTCGTCCAGGGAAGTACTGTCACGTTACTTATTTAAATTTTTTCCGGTTTTAAAGGGTTAAGGGCGCTGGTGAAATTACGGCATGTGAGACTTGTCGATTTATGTCTCAGGGTGACGGGCGCAGTAGCAGTACCAGAGCGAGAATCTTTGTAATTAGTTCTGAATAGCACTGCAACTGCTATGGACAGCCATGTCGCTTATCACCAGGCGCACGACTTGTTCGCCCTGTCACTCAGTATTTAAAAAAGACCCGTTGATATTGGCGCGGACAAGCTTGTAAGTGAGCCTAATTATGAAGAAAAAACTGAGGGAATTATGAACATACGTACTTTATAGTTTGCGGAAGCGCAATTTTTTGCTACTTTGTCTAAAAGATGAACATGAAATGTAAACATAACTACGTTATTTTTCTAAGAGATCAAAAAAGGAAACATAAAAAGCTTATTATGTAGTTTGATCATGAATAAATGAACGCTAACAAAATCCACCAAGTACTTATTATTTGCAAACTAAAATTATGTATAATAATAATATAATAATTATGTATATAATAATAATTAATTACTAATATAAAATTATTTATCGTAACCGAAGTTAAGGTATTGTTCGTGACAATTTTCGTACGTGCCTTAATCAGGCCGAATATTCGTATGTTGGGCCACGCTCCCGGCCGAATAGTCGGTATTTGGCCATAGGCCAAACTCGTTGCAACACTAGTATTTTGTAATTGGTATTTCAAATAATCTGAGATGAATGTATTTTATAATAGATATTTCAAATAAATTTGTGGTGGCCTGGCTAGTGGTGATGATTATATTTTGTATTTTAAATCAATGAGGTCACAATACCATATTTTATACTTCGTGTATTAGAATTTCCCCTTTCAGTTAATTATAATATTATTTTATATAATAATAATCTTATAAATTTATTATTTGTTGCAGTCTACCACTGAGAAGAAGACCTGCCTGCGTGATTTGAAAGAGCAGATTGACACCATAATCGGCCGAAATCTTAAATACTGGCGTCAAACTCAAGACAAAAAACTAAAGGACGCCTTCCTTACAAGACTGCAGTATTTACACCAGGTGTATCTCGATATGAGCTTGCTAGATGTAACTGATTTGCATGGTAGTAGTCCAAAACAAATTTACACGATAAACTCCCTAAACACGCTCACTACAAACTGGGATATAAACGTCGGGGTCCTCAAGAATTTATCACGTCTACGTTAATTAGTGTAAATAGTGTAAAAGTGATTTTTTAATTATCTAAGGATCTGTTGTTGTACTTTTAGATGCTAATGTTATTAAACTATCAACGATATTGTATATTTTTAGTTTTCTTAAACAATTACTCGTACATTTTAACTGCTATCAATTTACGGCACATTGCATATAAACTAAGTAATAATAACGAGTTCTTAGGTTTTCGCGATTGTTACACATAGGAAATGAAACTATTTTTCCGGATTTAAGTCGTGAATATTTGTTTTTTGAAACAAAACGGCGTTTCGGGCCCTTTACAGGTCCCACGGTCACGGTTGACTGAGGTGGTACATAACTGGTTGATGACTGTACCACCAAAAATAGTTTCATTTCCTATAAGTAGTAATAATTTAAATTTCATATACTTATTAACATAAAATATATGGCATTATTGTCATAAACTAATTGATGTGGTTCTAGGTTATATACATTATTATACATCAGTGTTAGTAGCGAAAATACATAGATCAAATAAACCCAATAATCAGTGCTACCAAAAAAAACTCGATAACACAATGGCAAACAATAAAAAAAGAGGAAAAAAGTAAAAAATAGTAAGTGTCTAAAAATATTGGAATTTTATTGCTTCACAAACTTAGAATTCGATTTCTTTGCCGAAGAAATACAGGGTGTTCAATTTGGTGCTTCTGCGCCAACCACGAACCAGGCCTAATGTGGCCGTTAAGGCCCTGTTGACGTAATTCTCTGCAAAATTCAAAATTATAATAAACCTAGTAGAGCACCTTGTAGTTTGTTGAAAAAAATCATCTTGCCCCTTTTAATTTTCTTCAAATTATATTTAACTATAATATGCGATAATTAAGTGTGTATGTGTTTACATACGTAGCTGCGTGTGTAGCAAGATCCGCATGACATGATTAATACAGAAGAGATGACTGCGAGGAGTTTCTAATACGTGATTCGTCATCGGGGTACGGTGTTTGGTTTATTAGAAAATTGAAGCTATTATCGCAAAAATGGTGTAACCCACATTTATATCATGGACACATGATATGATACAAAAAATTGAATGTGGTCGCTGATATCCTCTATTTATGTGATTCGTCATCAGAGGATAAATTTTATTGTCGCTTGGTTCATTTAATTTTTTTTTCTTTAATGATATCATTATCATTTAACGTTATATTATAGAAATATGATAATAATAATAAAGAAATGACACTGATATGATTAAAAAAAAAATTGTGTGGTTACATCGCTTGTGCGCTGTTAGGCTTAATTTATCAACCGTTTGCAAGATTGCGCATATGAATCGTTTAGATGTATAAATTCGTTTTTTTACAAATGTTGCATTAGGATCGAAGTGGTTCATCCATGAATTTAACATACATGGAATAAACATCCAATTGTAATTTTACATCATACCTATGATGTCGGTGTCTGTGTAGTTGGGAAACGCCGGGAAGTACGGCTTGACAAGATACACTAATTCGGTTCCAACCACGCCAGAGATGTAGTCACACACTGAGCCGGCAACGCGCCCATCTGTGCTGCTTTGGTGTACCTGAATGTTAAATTGAATTTGAGACAAACCATGTTTGCACCCATCCAATAAAGTTGTGATACGTAATGAGACTGCTCCTAGTAGCAGTAGACCTCCTTGTGAAAAGAGTTCGTAGTAATAGGGACCTTATGTATTTCTACCGCCAAGCAGTAATGTAAACATTACTGCGGTTCGGTTTTGAAAGGTGAGGGTGCTGGTGAAATTACAGGCACATGGGACCCTGTCAACTAATGTCTCAGGGTGACGGGCGCAGTGACAGCGCCCCTGAGACCTTTCCGATTTAAAGTACTGAGTGGTACTGCAAATGCTATGGACAGGCGTGCCGTACGTACGACCAGACACACGACTTGTTTGTCATGTCACTTGTTATCAATAAAAAAATCTATTAACCAATTCCTTACCGATTGCCTTAGCTCTACCGACTTTCGACGGTTTATTAGATTATTGACATCATTGACCTATGATTGACATGTTAACTGTGTCATGGGCCACATTAGTTTTGGTCAACCGTACCTATTCACATCCACATAAAGAAAAAAGAAAAGATGAATTTCAAACGAAAATTTCAATTTTATTTGTCTAATATTTCGGGTAATTACAACTGAACACTTAAATTTTATTGTAAATTGATATATTTCCCCGTTTTCAATTTCTCGATTTGCCATCGGATTACTGTGAATTGTAGGTATAGGTAGGGGAGAGAACGAGGCACCTTTGAACAGGGGCAGCTTAGAACAAAATTAAATGCGTTTACGCAGTCAGTTTGAATGAAAATGTAGTCATTATGTTTATATAAGGTACCACCGAACTGCACACCTATCAGTGGCAACAGTCATTGTGCGCGCGTCAAAAACTGATTGTGAGGTCGTGTTTAGTTTCAGCGTCGAAAAGTAAACTTTCTCAACTTATACGACAAGATTATCAGGATCAGGATTATTTTATTGCTAAAATATTAAACCTACAGCTTGCAATTATTCAGTGTTTTTACGCATGAAAAATGTTTGTTATTTTGTAAAGTACCCATTGGGGCAGATTTGAACAAATCAAAAGGGGCAGCTTTGAACACGTTTAGAGGGTCTGATTAGCTTCCACTGCTAATATTTTTATAAGAAGAGGTTTTGTTTATTTTTTTTAGTTATTTTTATTCTGTTTTGTACTATTCCTGTGATTTTATAATTAATAATTACAGTACATTAAGAAGTTAAGTTTTTATTTATTTTTTATATTGCAGTTAATAATTTAAACTTTAATTGTGTTTCGGTTCGGTCAAAACCTCTTTGTAATAGTGTTTCTAAATATGTGATTATAAATTTAACTAAACAGATTGAAGAATTTGTAAAAGATTTTTGATAATGGATTTAATAAAAATATTTTGCAATAAATAAGTAATTTTGAATTAAAATGTGCTCCAGGTGGGTTCAAAACTGCCCCAGATGAGGGGCAGCTTTGAACATTTGAGTTCCTTCACAAAATGGGAATTCTGACAGTATTATAATAATTTTGATCGTGCTTATTATGAATGATTATAGCCAAATAATAAGTCTTAACTACTGCACCCTCAGAGCTCTGCAGCAAACAGAACAAATAAATAGTAATGATTTAGGATTTTACAACCAGATAGGTAAAAAAATCTTTGAATGTTATCTTTATTGGGTTGGTAAAAAAATCCATGTAGTATCAAAGTATAAATTCAAAACATTTAAAATATACATAACAAACTTGAATCAATTACGTATTGGCCATGTTGATCTACAATGTTTTGCCATTTTTCGGATAATTTTAGAATTCACATCTCATACAAATTTCAGTTTTTACTTATAAAATTGTCTGTCTAAATGTCGCTTAGTGGTCTCTCTCTTCGCTAACAAAGTCTAGTCCATTCAACATTGACCTTTGGTAGGTCAATGCCATTCAAAGAATTTAAAAAAAAATAGGCTATGTCGGGCTAAATACGGTGGATGAGGTAACACATCCCAATAAATGCAAAATTTAGTTTTTCACGGTTTTGTAAAAATATGTGTGGTCGTGAAATGTATATTATCATAATGAAATACGACATCTTTACGATTCACCGTTTCTCAAGAATCACACACTTAAAACTTTTCCGCCTATTCTTAGAACACGCGATACGTCCTAAAATATTACTTATACTCATTGACCTACCACTTATACTCATAAAATGACTAAGTATAGATAATAGAACATTCATTCTAAAAGAAAAAATGTTTTCTTGCTTAAAGCTGCCTGTAGTTTTTGTCCAACCCATTATTTTTTTCGGGTCTATATAATTCGCGTATATTTATGTTTTCAAATAAACCAACTTTTCTTTACAGGTCCCATGGACACGACTGGCCGAGACAAATATTCGCGATTTATTCAAATAATTTCATCATAAAATAAAAGCATTTCATTGCCAATGTGTACGTATAGGTAGTCAGTCTTTTTTGAAGACGTTGTAAAATGATAGCTATAGAGTTGCCAGTTTTAATAAAATGTTAAATAGTTATGTAGTTTTTGTCGATAATTTTGATCGATACATTGTGAAAGAAGATAAAATTTTGCCAAAATTGTCTGAATTGTGAATGTTACGAAGTTCTAATGATAACTATTTTATTATCTTTATTCTTATTTTGACAATTGGCCTACTAGTATCGAAATCAATTTTCAGTCTTATACATTTTAATAAGAACAGGCGAATACGTCTTCTCTTTGTATTTATATTAAAATAAAGAAGGCAATAACGCAATTAGTAATCATTAGAACGTCGTAACATTCACAATTCAGACATTCGGCAAAATTTTGATCTTCTTTCAACAACAATCTATCGATAAAACTGTCGACAATAACTAAATGACTATTTAAAATTTTATGACAATTGGCAACCCCACAAATGTCATTTTACTCCGTCTTCAAAAAGACAGACCATAGCTGCCTATGAGATAACAATAAGTGATAGCTGCTCGCAAGTGGGCAACGCTTTAGCGCAATGAACTATCATTTCATTCTGTCTTCAAAAAAGACAGACTATAGCAATCGCAAAAACCTAACTCAACATATTTATTTTTAGAACATATAACACGCGAGAGACGTTATAAGCATAATTTCTCAAACAAAACTTTTTTGAGGGGCGGGTGTTATTTAAATGAGTAGAAACCTCATATAATTTTCTAAAATTTCGGTTGCAAAGTATCCCAAAAAAATCGACGAAGTCCACATTGTGCCATACATGCAAAACAGATGATATTAGAAAGTAGATACCTAATTATATGTATAGGTACAATCAATAAATGCGTAGTATGTCAAAAAGTACGTAAGAACTATAAAATACTCTTTTTACGAGTTTACCTATTTCATAAACGCAGAAAAAGTCAAATTCACATTTAGTAACAAGAAAAACACAAACAAAAGGTACTGCTTATTTCTAACAGAAATTTCTTCCTGCAGACCTAAATACAGGAGACAATAATTACAATAACGGGTTTACGTGCACAACATAACAAAAATGATGTACCTAATAAAAAAAATATCATAAACATAAAATTATTAAAACTATATAAATACTTAGATAAATACATATTTCGTACTATAATACCTATAAAATGGATGGAACAGTCGATAAATAGTGCTCCTTAACTCTCAATTTGAAAATTGCTAAGGATTTATTATCATGAACAGTAATGAGAAGTGCGTTCCAAAATCTGACCCCACGAACAGTGAAGGAATGAGCATAAAAACCGGAATTAAAGGATGGAAAAGATAATTGGGACCTAACGAGAGAGCGCCTGTGGCTTGACCTGAGACCTGAGAAAGCTGAATTGCACTATTAGACCTCCGGGAGACATAGGGTTGTACAGAATATTAGGAGTTAAAGTATGAAATTGCCGTTTTATTGCAATAAGTTCTTTGAATTTTCATAGAATCTTCATGGTTTGAGGTTTTCGAATGAAACTTTTTTCTGTGATTTTTTTTTTTAAATTTGAACCATTTGAATATCGACTTTCAATTGTTTTTGTTATTCAATTTAGACAAGAAAGATGGATACTGCGAAAATTCGAGTGATTTTTGAATACGAGTTCCGACGCGGAACTAACGCGGCAGAAACAGCCCGCAATATCAATGCTGCGTTTGGAGAGGGGTCTACTAATGAACGCACCGTGCGATTTTGGTTTAAACGCTTTCGTGATGGAAATTTCGACTTAAAGAACGAGGCACGAGGAAGACCGCCCACACAGGTGAATAACGATGAATTAAGAGAGATAGTGGAAGCCGATCCTAGTCAAACTACCCAGGAATTAGCGGCATGGTTTAACGTTACCTTACCCACAATATTGACTCACTTGCGTCAAATCAATAAAATAAAAAAATACGAAAAATGGGTGCCTCAAGATTTGACTGATCTGCAGAAAGAAACGCGTGTTGAAACTTGTGTTGCCTTGTTGAACGGGTACAGAAATGAAGGAATATTGGATCGAATTGTAACATTTGATGAAAAGTGGATTCTTTATGATAACCGGAAAAGAAAAATGCAATGGCTGACCCCAGGTCAAATGCCACAACAGTGTCCTAAAGCAAAACTTACCAATAAAAAGGTAATGGTAACTGTTTGGTGGTCTCAGCATGGTGTTATTCACTATAGTTTTCTCCGATCTGGTCAAGCAATAACGGCAGATGTCTATTGTGCCGAACTCCGAACCATGTTGACAAAACTAGCAGTAAAACAGCCCCGACTCATGAATCGATCTTCACCATTATTGCTCCACGACAACGCGGGACCTCACACAGCACGAGAAACCATTTTGACCCTTCAGGAACTGCAGTTAGAAACCATTCGTCATCCTCCGTATTCACCAGACCTTGCTCCAACGGACTACCATTTTTTTCGTGATTTGGACAATTATCTACGTGACAAGAAGTTTTCTTCCCAGGAGGCAGTACAAAATGCTTTCACACAGTTTGTGCAGTCTAGATCGTCGGAGTTCTATCGCAAAGGCATTAATAACCTTTCCAATAGATGGCAGCAATGTATAGATAATAATGGCAACTATTTTGATTAAATAAATTTGTTAAAAATTTAAAAAATAAACAATTTAGATTTTCGGTACAAATCGGCAATTTCATACTTTAACCCCTATTATTATAGGGAACAAAGACAATGCAAATTCCCGCAGAGACGAATGGGAAGCCACTTGAGTTGAATGCGATACTGTGAGATTCGGTAATATTTACGAAGGCCAAAGATGAACCTTATACACAGATTTTGCAATTGAACGGTTGCAAAATCTGTGTATAAGGTTCATCTTTTTTTTTGCTTATTTAGCAGCTCTTCAGTAGCATTTAAATAGCAGGAATCAGCATAGTTCTAAGAAGGGTAAAAGAAGAGATTGGGCTAAACAGATTTTGGATTTTAAAGGCAAAACGTTTTGGAGACCTTTAAGCGAGTGCAAGGAGAAATTGTCTTTTCGACTGACTTCGTTAATATGCGGAGTCCAAGCCAAATTGCTATCCACAAGCAGATCTAGATTAGTTGCAGTACAAGTATAATAGACTATCTAATAAATAGATAACAGTATATGTAGACCCGCATTGAATGGTAAGGGTGCTGGTGAAATTACCGGCACATGGGACTTGTCAACTTATGTCTCAGGGTAACGGAAGCAGTGGCAGTGCCCCTAAAATCTTTGCGATTTAAGGCTCTGAGTGGCCCTGCAACTGTTCACAACACGGCACTGGGACAGGTGTGTAGCTTACCACCAGGCGCACGACTTGTTCGTCTCGTCACATGATATTATAAAAAAAACCAAAAACAATAGGCGTGAAATTATATTCTATAAGTAGCACAGAATGTAGATCCAATGTGCCACGCATATGCCCAGTTCCCACAATCATGGCCTTCGACATTTTGGGATTTACCAATAAGCTAAAAGACTCAGCTCAATGAGCGATGCTTCGTAAATCAGCGTTAACAGCTTCAACGGTTGTAACGACATCGGAAACTTTAAAACTACGGTAAAGCTGCAAATTGTCAGCATAGAGATGAGAGATGAGGACAACACAGAAGTGACAGAGTTAATGAAAGTAGAAAAGAGGAGAGAAGAAAGAACACCACTCTTAGGGACGCCCGCAGCTAAGTCACACCAATCAGAGGACGCCTCCTCAGAGCGAACACACTGCAAGCGGCCTCTAAAGTAGGAATCAACAGCTATAACTACAAAAGAAACATTGAAAGAACGAAGAGAAGCAAGCAATAGATCATAGTCAACAGAGTTGAAGGCACTGCTGAAGTCCAGAAGTATAAGCAAAGTGAAAAGACGATTGTCCATTGCGAGGCGAATATCATCTGTTACCTTCAATAGTGCAGTCACAGTGCTATGGCCAGAACAAAAACCTGACTGAAACGAGGAAAGCAATTTATTGGAAGAAAGAAAGGACATTACCTGCTTGTTGACATATAGACAACGAACGATGAGGACTTTGGATAGAAAAGGATGAATGGAGATGGGACGAAATTCGGAAAGGTAATTAGGATTAAAGGATCATGTTTGTCCCGTCACTTGATATTATAGAAAAAAAAAAGGATTAGACGTTTTGGGTACAGGTATGACATGGGCGAGTTTCCATTGTGAAGGGAAAGAACGAGATTCTAAAGTTAAATACATGAAGGTATACAGGAATTACACAGGAGCTGAGATCATCATTGCCAACAGCAGTAGTAGAGGTAATAGAAAGAATGTGAGTTTTCACCTCACATTCTGGAAGGATTATTACAAATTAGTCGTGAGATTCTGATCGATCTATCTATAATTACAATTTACTTACATGATTTAATTAAAGCCAAGCAGTCAAAGGGTCAAATTTGTCCCAGTCCCGGCGCCAGCGAAACTTATTTTCTTTATATTAATGAATATACATACATTCTGTATACACCGTTTTTGTTTTCGATATATGGCTAACATGTCAGTATTGCCATTTATTTTTAATCAGGCGCAATAGTAGAATGCACATGTATCTATACATTTAACGCGACGTGAGTTACGCATACTGAGAATCCGATTGTTAAAGAAAATGAGGTGTATTTATGATGTCTCAGCTGCTGCACGTATTTATAACATTTGAATCGATTTCACGGTATTTTTCTTAGGGTCGTATTCCAGAACTCTACTCAATACTCAAGTCAGGATCTGAGTATGATTTCAAGCACTGGAAATACGACCCTAATGGAAGGGACTTGAGTATGACTTCGAGTGCTGTAAACCATACTCAAATCCTGACTTGAGCATTGAGTAGAGTTCTAGAATACGATACTAAGACTGCCTTAGGGTGCGATAAAAGAAATGCACAACGGAGACCCAATGCTGACGTTAATAAAAAATCTAATTTTGCATAATATCTTTGAGAGCCCAAAAATATTTACCAATATTTATGCATTTTTTACATTATTTATCGTGACTCTCCTCTCGTTTTACGCCTACGCCTCCATGAATTAATTAACAGCTGTGAAGGTACCTATAATATAACTGTATAAATAGGTATTCGCACCAATTGCATAGGTATGTACAATACAAAAGCGAATTATAATTATTTACAACTTACCTCATAAAGTCTTCCGTCAGGTAATCGCGCCTGTCGTGCTGCATATTCTCCAATAGCCTGGAGTGTGGCGTAGTTACTTGGTTGACGTTTAGAAAATCGCCAAGGGTACAGTATTAATTCCTGAAAATCAAACTGAAAAATATTTTTTATGAAAGCTTTACCTGGTTAGTGATGTTATACACTGTACTTAAATCGAATTATTAGAGACTAACATCAACATGCACAGATTAAGGTATAATATTCCTTATTTCGCAAATAGGTATCTAGTGAAGTAGAGAGTGTCTCAATAGCTCCATGAACATGACCTTGTTTGTATTATAAATATTTTTACCTTTCTCGGTACAAAACTAGCATGTAAATGAATAGCCAAATTAATAGAGGAATCGCTAAGCCCGTTGAAGTAATGCTTTAAGGCCTGTGCTTCAAATGATGAGAACGGCTTGGCGCCTGCATAAAACTGCGAACAACGGTCGGGCGTTTTATGCACGTCATCTGGAATATAATTATTTAATTTAATGATGACTTAACGCCTGGATAAAACGAGCAATGCTCGCCGATTACACTTAGTGCAGTGTGTACACGGTGTCTATGATAATTTGTTTACAGTGCTTCCATGTTCTCAATGTCCCTCGAACAATCATGAAGCAATCATTGAATTTCCGAATTCACATGAATAGTAATTTCCATGCTCATTAATAATTAGATTTAAAATTTATAATAATTTGAATTTTGAACAACATACTTTATTGTTGTTTTGTTTTGATTTTCGTGTGAACTATATAGAGCTGTAGAACTATTTCCCTATTTTTAATAACATGTACTCCATGTCAATAAGCAAGGTGACAAAAATAAAAAGTAAATGAAGTGTGCTTCTTTTGTATAACTAAAAAAATCCATATCTTTCAAAAGTCTTCTTAACGTCTTCAAGCAGCCTACAAATTGTATAGCCTCAACCAACTTCGCTTTTTAAGTTCTCAAACAAGGTAGTTCCTTAAAGCGGAAATGAAAATCGTCTAAATTTAAACGAAATGTATTATTCTTTCGTAACTTTTTAGGTGACTGAAAAGGAACTGATTTATCTTTTTTATCGTATTCTTGTAAATATTCTTTACTGTTCAGATTGAAACATCACGAGCTACAGAAATACGTTTTGGACTTTTTTAAAATAACCATTGTTGTATTTCTTGAACATATCGGCTAGTTGTAAAAAATACAAGTACACACTGTAAATTATCTGTTGTGCCTGTGACTTTAGTGGCTTTCCTCCCATTGTATAATAAATAAAAAAATGTAATAACAACTCTATATACTTCCAAGTCGACAGAAGGCGTCCAGTCTGAAACACAGAACCCTATACTCAAACTGAACCAAAGGAAAAAGAGCGACTGAATAAAAACCGGCGACAGCCGAAATACGAACTTTGCAGAGGGACATTGGGAAAATAGAAGTACTTAATCGTGAAATATTTATGATGGATTTAATTATTAATACATCAAAATTAAAATATATATATATATATATATATAGGAAATGAAACTATTTTTCCGGATTTAAATAGCATATATTTGTTTTTCAAAGAAGCCAACGTTTTGGGCACTTTACAGGTCGCATCGCACCCTTAGTAATATAAGGGCACAATCCAAAAAAAGTAGATTTTTGGGAAATTTGGGAATTGATAGGGACTTAAATAATAAATGGGATCAAACTTAAATAGCTCCATATTTCTGTTATATTTTTTGTACTATATGGGTCTAACTTGAAAGTGTTTTTTTAACTTGCTTGAAACTTATAGAATTTATTTTGTATTATTTTTTTTATTGCTATTTATAATACATTTATCAAAGAACAAATCTGCCAAATTTCATATTTATAACTTAAATAATAAGCATGTTATTTGAAAAAATAGGTGTAATGTAGGAATCCAGAATCTTAATACGCGATTTCCCAAAAATCTACTTTTTTTGGATTGTGCCCTTATATTACTAAGGGTGCGGCATGGTCACGGTTGACTGAGGTGGTACAGTTATCAACCAGTTATGTCTAATATTAATGCAAACCACCCTATTTTTTCACTATAGTTACAAAAGTAAAAAAGTAGACATAACTAGTAAAAGAAATTAGATGTAATTGGTTGATGACTGTATATCACCTCAGTCAACCGTGACCATGGGACATGTAAAGGGCCCGAAACGTTGGTTTGTTTGAAAAAACAAATATACGCGATTTAAATCCCAAAAATAGTTTCATTTCCAATGTGTAATAATCGCGAAAACCTAAGAACTCGATAAAAAATACAAAGTCAAGTAACTGACCTTGCCAATGATAAGCGAAGTTACGATTTACGTTAGTGCCAAAACAGCTTTCTTTATCTTTTTTTTCTACATTTTTATGCCATTGAGATGGTCTGGTACCTATCCTGGCAGTAAAATTAGTTGACCAAATCGGAGTATCCACTGGTGGCAAATCTCGTATTTTTGTCGTAAAATGCATACCGTCTGGATTAGCTAGCGGTATTAAGTACCTATTGCAGAGAAAATAATTAAAATGAAACTAGTTAAAAAAATATAAAGTTATGTTTGTATAAATAGTTGTATTACAGTACGAGCCCTATACCCCACCCCCACCGTCGGGCTCGGCCTGCGACGAGTGGTCGCTTTTAGATTACGGGGTGTGCTTATGCTCTTCGGTAGCACAGTGATTAGTACTATACGGGTGCTTGATGAGGAGGTTCCAGATTCGATCCCTTATTTGAGCCAATTTATGAAAAATTACATTTTTAAGTTGGTCCTGGTCAGGGTATTCTGGGTATTGCCCCCAGAGTTATTGTTACTCTGGTACTTATATACAGGAAATTCCCTAGTTGTATAGTACAAATTTGAAGTGATTGTCTGGCATTTTTTCCCTAAATACTTCTCTTTTTGGCATAGCTTCCAATAAAAAAGAATCTAACAGAGAGACGGTCGAGATATAACAACGCTATAAGATGTATAAGTAAATAAGATATTATTTCCACTACGGGAAGTATGCCTGACATTTTGAACAATTGTGAAATCTAGTCCCCGTATACTACCTACGTAAGGTGGCGTGCAGACGCTTCGGGCATCGCCCTTCGCTAGACCTCGGCCTACGGCTTCGGCACTTATGACTTTAAAAAAATTGACATACCTCTTTAATGGCGGCTATTGATATATAACACCTACCGGCAGGGTCGTCAAACTAAAAATGGCCGCCACTCTGGGCAGTTTCTACCGGAAGTGAAAAAAAATCAAAATTCGAATAAATAAGATGGCCGCCATACAAATTTTAGAGCGTTATAGCTCGGCGAGTATTGAAGATAGGCGGGGGGTGCTCGACCAAATGTCATAGAGGGCGGCGGGGGTCAACTGCCGGTGACAACATTTTTTCAAGATGGCCGCCTCAAAATGAGGGCCCAAAAAAAGTGCTCTGATCCGGCTGAAATTTGGCATGCGGTCGTGTATGGGGGCCCACAATAGGAATATGCTGTCGAAATTTGATTCCGCCATTTTCCAACATGGCCGCTATACCATGTCAATCTTCTGCCTTTTGGCGTCATTTTTCTCCCAGAAGGAGTGCGGGTGGGTAAAAATCATGTAGAGGAATGATGGATTTGAGGAGTATCAAATGGTAAGGTAATTTTCGGAAAGTGCTCCGCATCAGGTAGGACCCCAGCTGCCCGGCGAAAGTACGTGTCTTGGCTCAAAGTCTCCAAACAAATATTTATCCACATCCTGGGCAGTTTCTACGGGGAGTGAAAAAAAAATTCAAAATTCGAAAAACAAATTGGCCGCCGTACAAATTTCAGGGGCCCGTATCTCGGAAACTATTGGAGATAGGTAGATCATGTTCAAACTAATATTGTAGAGAGCGACAGGATCTAACTGGTTGTTGAAATTATTTTTTGAAAATGGCCGATTCAAGATGGCGGCCCGAGAAAAAGTTGCTCCGATCCGGCTTAGATTTTACATTATTCCATGTTTGGGAGCCCATAATACGAATTTGTAGTCAAATTTTCGATTCCGCCATTTTCCAACATGGCCACCATACATTTTCGACCGTCAACTATGTTTCGAGGCCCATATCTCGGCGAGTATTGGAGATAGATGAGAGGCGCTCAAACAAATGTCGTACAGAATAGTACGAGCCAACAGGTAAAAAAAAATTTTAAGATGGCGGATTCAAAATGGCGGCCCGAAATAAAAGTGCTCCGATCCGACTGACATTTGACATCCGATCGGTTATGGAGGCTCATAGCATGCATCTGCTAACGAAATTTGGATTCCGCCTTTTTCCAAGATGGCCGCCGGACAAGTGAATTTTAAATTTTTTCACCAGCATTTTTCTCCCAGAACAATTACGGGTGTATAAGAGTAATGCATGCGAATAATAGTTGGGTGGATTTGGTGAGTATCATAAAGTACCAAAACCTTCGGAAGTGCTCCGCATCAGGTAGGACCCCAGCTGCACGGGCGAAGTATACGTTTTAGCCCTAAGGTTTCCAAACAAACGTTGCTCCACACCCTGGGCAGTTTTATAGGCATTAAAAAGTATTAAAAATTCGAAAAGCAAAATGGCCGCCATATAAATTTTGGGAGACTATATCTCCGAAACTATAATAGATAGGTAAATTATGTTCAAACTAATGTCCGAGTGGGCGATCGAGTGACTGTAAATTTATTTTTCAAAATGGCCAACTAAAGATGGCGGCCAAAAAAAACACCGATCGTGCTGAAATGTGGCAATTTTATTTTTTATTTTTTATTTATTGTATTTATTACATTTAAAAGTATTAAAAAAGAAAACATTCCAGTATAACATAAACTTAACTAAGTTTTTCTGTATACCGCTCATTCGTCGTACAAAAATATTTCTATGTGTAGTGTGCGCGTTCGTACTCCTTCGTGTTGACATTTCGTGGTGTGCGTGAGTTCGGTAATATAGGGTGTCAATAAATTTAAAATTTTGTACATCCTACTGTTGAACACGGATATAATATACTAATTCTAATATAATATAATACAATACATTATAAAATAATATGTAATAAAAACTTTTTCGTAAGTATTATATGGAGTTAGTATGCATAATATTGTTAATTAAAGTTGAATAGTATAATATTTATTACATATTAATAATTGGCCGTGTATAGGCCCCATAATACGAAATTGTGTTTGTTCCAATATTGGAATGGCGGCCATATGGCCGCCGTACATTTTCCACCATCCAACACCATTGCTCTCCGAGAACCAACCGATGAAGTCTTTCCTACATTTAAAGTCACATGCCTCACACATAGCTCTCGCGGGCCGCTTTAGCGGCCCAGCGCAACGTGCAACATTTAAGTCGGTCTGGTCTCCGGTATATACGGCCTGGCCAAAGCTTCAGAGATGGGTTCAAAGCAAAAATTGTCAAGGACCCTGGTCAGATTCTATCGAGACCAAAAATTTACAATATGGAGAATCCAAGATGGCCGCAATACAAAATTGAGTTTGCTGAATCTCTGCAACTATCGATGATGTACGGGTGGTGTCTTCTGAATTATTTTAGGATAGGAATTTACGCAATCACACCATCTACCTGCTCTCTCTCTTACCCAAACCAACCCAACCAAAGAAAATTATCTTCTGAAATATTAAGTTCAACTCCCAATTTGCCACCAGATGTAAAGAAAGCCCTCGCCAGCGCATCGCGTTCCAACTAGTTATTATTATTATATATATAAAGGTTAAAGTTCTTACTCACTGATAGAAATAGAACGCATACTTCCCGATGTGGTGGAAAAAGTATTTATACCGTTGTACGCGGATAGATTGCAAAGCAAAGAATCAAATAGGTATGAGAAGACCTAAATGTGGAAAATATGAAAGAGTGTTCAACGGCCTGCAAAAACTATAATATATGGAGGGAATATTTGTGTACTTTTATGAGATACACCCTGGTCAATTTCCGCCGGAAGTAAAAAATGTTCGAAATTCAAATAAATAAGATGGCCGCCATACAAATTTCAAAGTCTCTAACGGAAACTATTAGAGATAGTTAGGAGGTGCTCGAAGGAATGTCATAGAGATTAATAGTGGTCAACTGCCTGGGTTAAAAAAAACAAGGTGGCGAATTCAAAATGGTGGCCGAAGAAACACTTGCTTCGATCCGGCTGAAAATTGGTATGCGGGGGTCTTTAGGAGTCCTTAACCATAATCAAAAGTTTCTTTTCGCCATTTTTTAATATGGCTGTCATATAAGCGTTTTTTTCGTCAAAAGTGGCTACCGAAACGGACATGCTCTGATTCGGTTGATAATTGGCATGCGGAGGCCTCTAGAAGTGCCGGATAAAAATTTGTGATCAAAATTGGTTTTTCGCCATTTTCAAATATGGCCGCCATAGAAGCGTTCGTTGGCGGCAGAAAAAAAAATGATCTGATCCCTTTGAAAATTGGCATGTGTGGGTCTCTAGGAATGCTTGATAATAATTTGTGATCAAAAATGGCTTTACGCTATTTTTTAATATGGCCGCCATTCAACAACTAATAAAAACTAGGTCTAATTTAACTGAAAATCCATATGTGGAAATGTCTGATAATAATTTGCGGTCGAAATTTATTATTTGCATTTTTTCAATATGGCTGCCATACAAACTTTTTTGGCGGAGATAAAAATTTCTTCTAATTCGACTGAAAATATCATGGCTTCGCACGGCGCGGCATTTGGGGTAAAAATTTTGTTTCTGCCGTTTTTCGATATAGCCGTAATTTTTTATGTAAATGGCTATTGAAAAAACTTGCTTTGCTCAGACTGAAAATTGGCACGAAAAGATTTCTAAGATTGTTTGATAATAATTAGCGGTCAAAAAATATTTTTGCAATATTTAAATATGGCCGCCATTAAAGAGCTATTTCAATTTTTTGTAAAACAAAGCCATAAGTGCGGAGGCCCGAGGCCGAGGTCCGCGGAGGGCGAAGCCCGAAGCGCCCGCACGCCATCAAATGGAGATAAGATACGGAGACGTAATAGATTACGAGTACAAGATCTCACAATTATAAAAATGTAAAGCATGCTTCCCGATGTAGTGGAAATGAGATACTTATTATAGCGTTGTTGTATCTCAACCGTCTCTATGTTAGATTTAATTTTCTTGAAAGCTATGCCAACGAGTTGTATTTAGGGGGAAAAAATGCCAAACTACTGCCAAATTTCCTGTACTATGTAGGTACTATGAATACCAAATCAACGATAACCCAGAATACTCAGACCAAAACGAACTTAAAAATGTTCGTTTCTTAAATTGACGTAAATCGGGAATCGATCTCCTCATCAAGGGCCCGTAGTACTAACTGCTGTGCCACCGAAGAGCATGAGCACACCCCGTAAACTGAAACCGACCACGCGCCTCAGGCCGAGCCCGAGGGCTCGTATATAATATAAATAATAATAATTATAATGATTCGAGTTATCTTGAATGGACATGCGAAAAAACGACTTTTAGGAATAGTGCAATATGTTAGCCTTTGTTTATAGTGTTTAACAATTTAAAAATATAAATTTGTATTAATATATTAATTAGCCTATAGCAGAGGGTTTTATTAATATAGTTACCAATCATAATCATTGAAAAACGGTGTCTGGTAACCTGTGTCGTATAATAACTTCTCTGCAATTTCAAAAATTGCATTTGGCACTGCCCAAGTCATACCATTTAATCCTGGAAAATATAGATAGCCTGAGCATTTCCGTTGACTTTTTAAGCTTATTAATTATATCGTGGTGTAATTTACCTCCTATTATAAGAATGCCAGGTTTTTTGGTTAGCTTATCACTGTGCAATTCGAGCGCCACAATGCTACGATTTTCTGTTGTATTCGGTGTAAGGTGTCTCACATATACTACATCGCTATCAGCTTTCTCAAATCTTTCTGTTATTTTAACTACCTTCTCATAGTCCAGGTATTGGGGATAGTGAATTTTTGTAGTTGAATCTCGTTTAGTACGAATTTTTGCTCCCGATCTGAAAACATGAGCTAGGTTCTCATTTGCATAGAAATGTAAAGGCAGTTTATTAAGAAGGAACAACCAAAGATTCTACACCACAGCACAGGCTGTAATTGTGTAGGCAGGCAGTAATTAGACAAATGATTTACAATAGATAGCGTACAATTCATAATTCCTTGGTGGAAATAAAATCATAAATAAAGCGCCGAAAAAATAAAGAGCTCCAATCAAATATACTTTTATCTGCAAAAGCATTGCAACAATTAATTATTTGTGTAATATATAATATAATAACACTTTAATATAACCCCACAAAATTCTTAGTAAAAAAGACGTAACGAATATATTATTTTTATTTTGTCGATATTTTCTATGACAATCATGTCAAATTAAAGGAAAAAGAGGGAGGTCGAGGTATGGATTATAACCCAAAGCAATCAAATACAATATTAGTCACATGATAATTTTGAATATTATATATTGGAAATCGGGTTATGATAATTAAATATTAAGATATAATTTTAGATCACAAAATTAAGTCTGCATTCCTGGCGACTTACATTGTTGTCTTGTTTATCTGTCTGTCTATAATCTATTGTCAAAGGGCATCATGCCATGTCAAAGTATGAGGGAGTTCAGCCTTTTGTTAACATGAAAACTTGTATTTTTTTGATAATATTATTAGGTTTTATACAAGAAGTATTTTGCGGAAATCTCACAGAATTAATTGAGGATGACTCCTACCAGGAATGTCCAATTTCACGTGAGTACTAGAGGAACTATTGCACGACTGTTTTGTCAAAACATTGTGAATAGAATATTGTGAATTGTTGGTGTCTTTTTAGTGTTTCGCCGGAAAAGAGCTAATCTGGACTACACACGGTGGCGCGCTAACGTGCAGACTACACCAGAGTTTATAGTGAAGGTTCTTGATGAGGAAGTTACTACATCGAATGCAAATCAAATTGTTGCTGTGAACATATTGCCTGTGACGCAGAGAGTAGAGAAAATAATTGTAGGCGGCGCGATGGTTCCGCCGCCGATGTCCACTGTGAGCTCCGCTGATCTCTCGAAGGATTATACACGATTCGTACCACCTACCACCCTTTCAGTTACTCAAATTGCTGATAATCTTGCGCTCCAACTTAAAACCACGACTCCGCAAGAGGGACCACAACCAATATCACCTCCTGCCCGTTTGTATAGCTATGAATAATATAATTTGTCTTTAATTTTACTTTTTAATATTCCATACCATTTGGTTTTGATCATGGTGTTGAGTAGACTGGTACTTAAGTGCCGTCACTTTTTACGAAGTTTTTTTTTTCAGATCTAAATCGCATAAGTTTATTTTTATTAATAATTTATATATTTATTAAAGACCTCGAAACGTTGGTTTATTTGAAAAACAAGTACACGGGATTTAGTTCCGGAAAAAATTTTGCATTTCCACTGTGTAGCAATTCCGAAAACCTAAGAACTCGATTGGTTATGCAGTATTACGTAATTTTCATGCATTTTTACAGAATCTTCCCCACCTTTTGTCCGTTCAATGGAGGCCTTGCACAATCCACGACGAGACGAGAGCCCGCCTGCAAGTCCGCAATTTATTTCACGATTCTCCAAACCCAAAGTACTGGCTCGCCAATATGCACCTATCGCACCTGTGGCATTTACACGCCGATCATTAACACCACTTACTCCTTCAACAATTGATTATAATGTAAGTACCTATAGCGCATCCCATCATCATCATTATTATAACATGTTATTAACCAAAGAATTACATTGTTCAGAAAGAATTTGTTCAACCCACAAGATCTACCTTCTCCGGTAAATATCAGTTGTCATCTCGAACTTTCCCGGAAGAACGCACTTCCTCTTCGATTATATATGACGATCGATTTAGTTTGCCACCACAGTCTTCCCCTCATAGGCCTTCCACAGAATCGAAGCAGAACTCTATTCTGACATTTGTTTATGAGGAGCTTCGACCACACGATGAATTTGTATCTCGAACAACTCTAAAGAGAGATCCTAGTCGAACTCCCGGTCCGCCAAATAAGACGACAGACCTAAGTTTTAGTTTTCGTTTTAAAACACCAAACACAAAGCATGACAACCCTACTCCAGCTAGCGTAGATAAAGTACCGTATATTCAGAAATTACAAGCTAAACCAGAAGATTCTCGCGGAAAGGATCATGAAGTAGGAGAGAAAGAAGAAAAATTTTTACAGCACAAACTGACCACAGTCGTAGAAAAAGAATTGGATATAAATTACAATAACTTATTTTATAATGATGAATATAAAGAAGTTACTACACGAAGACCGTTAGAAACATCTGTCCATTACATACCGGATGAATACGATGATAAATCTAAATACAAAGAAATAAATTCGGTATCTGCTATTGATAAAATCGAAGGCCCAGAGTCAAATGACGACACAAAGCAAAGTATAACGGAAAAGGACGTAATATATAATACGTATAATCATGAATTGGAAAAAGAACTGCAGTTAAGACGTGCTGTCACGAAAAATATTTCTATTGACTTAGATATTTCTACAGTGACGGCAACTTCAAGTAAATCAGAAATCACTGCTACAGAACCCGATAAAGACGTAAAAAAAGGAGAAGAGAAGAGACAAACATGCTCTATGTTGAAATTACGTCAACTAAACTTTAACTCACCACGCACTTTATCAGAGGTAATTTTTCAAGTTACTTATTGTTTTTAAGTCAGTTTGTAGAGATGTTTGTCGTATTTTTTTGACTGTCTATGTAGGCATTGTGTCTACCATGATCAATAAACACACAAGTTGTTTTATTTGTAACGACACGTAATTGCCTGCTTGTTGAATTATGAAATGAGACATTGAAATAACATAATTGAACAGGTTTCGTATCACGTACCTTTTTTGTTGGTTAGACTGGTATTTCGAGACATACCATGGAAGGTACGTGGTAAGAAACCCGTTAATTAAAACATTGATACTTACGTCATCTTCAAAATGAAATCTGCAAAACACTGTAATTTAGTAGTTTCATTATCTTTATATCTTTTCTATATCTTTTTAATCAAGTCCTTTTCATTTAAATAACGCCTGATATAAACATGACCTTGTTTCTTAAGTTATCTCCGTGATCCAGATGTATCATCACGGCGGTTTCTTTATGGGATCCGTTCAGTGGTTTCAGAAATGCAACTAAAATAGTCAAAAGCCTTTATATTGAAACATTAAAACGTGGTTTCACTTATTTTCTGTTCAGATAGTAGCTCAATTAAAGCAGTGGGCGGAAGATAGTCCCGTGGCAAAGTGGATTGATATAACTGATGGAAATCTCACTACGATGGAGAATCCTATACACATGATAATAGTTGATGACCCTAGTAATGGACAAATTATGTCAGCGAAGCAAACTGTGATGATTGTCGCTGGTGCGTAACCTATAAATTTCTTAAAACTACTACACTACTAGCCTAAAAATTTGTAATAGGTATAATATTTATATTTTACATATGTTTTATGTTCTAGGGATTCAAGGTCGAGACCATCACGCTGTCACAGCAGCCATGTACGTTCTCTACCAGCTAGTAGAACGCAGTGAGTTCCATGCTGATGTCCTGACTAAATATCGCTTTTGGATCATACCGGTCTTCAATCCAGATGGATATGATTACTCTATGACTTTTCCACATGTAAGTTTAAAATGAGTATGTGATAATGTTTATATAGTTTATATAGTTCTTACATCTTGTTGCTTTTTAATTATTTAATTATTAATTTGTGTCATGTTCAATTTCAGAATTTTAGGAAATGAAACTAATTTTTCGGATCTAAATGGCGTATATTTGTTTTTTAAACAAACCAAGTTTGTTTGAAAAAACAAATATACGCCATTTAGATCCGAAAAATATTTGTTGTTTCAAACAAATCAAGTTTGTTTGAAAAAACAAATAAATACAGCTTTAAAAGCGAATTTTCCACATAAATTAGATAACCATATCGGTGGAATAAACTTGTAGGTTATAAAATGGAGTTGTAATGTCGTAGTTCGTAGCAAATATTTTTTTTCCATTATTTGGTGAATTTATGGGAACGAAAATCAAAAAACTTGATTTGTTTAAAAAACACATATACGCGATTTAGATCCGAAAAAATCGTCTCATTTCTTTGTTGCCATAAAATCACCAAATAACGGAATAAAAAAAATGGTTTGCTACGAACTACGACATTACGACTTCATTTTACAATCTACAAGTTTATTCCACCGCTGGATATCTAATTTATGTGGAAAATTCGCTTTAAAGCTGACACTCCGACGGTGCTACTCAAATAGAGACAATATAACAATGTAGATATTTTATCATTATTACTTTTTATCATTTCGCCGTCATCAGTGCAATCATTAATCATAAATAATTGGGTATTTACACGAACTAATATGTACGCGTTCGCAAGCGCAGATAGTCTGGTAATATATCACTGGGTGTCAAATAAAGTTGATATCTTTTCTGTCGGTGTACCTACTACATTTTAAAGGTTGATCGGTTTTTCTAATATTTTGTAAATACGTCATATTAGAACTAGTACTCTTATCTTACAATTTCAAGCAGTCGTATGTTTTCATTAACAATACAGTAACCATACAATAAAATATAGTTATAAATGTTAATTGAAGTATATTATTTGAAAACTAAAAGGGTTCGCACAACGGATAAATTCATTTGTCACTTAAATATTATGATATTACGAAGCAAACAAATCTGCGGCTACCGTTACATCGTATACATTTTTTCTTTTACTTGTTTATTTTTTATTACAAACTTACATTGCATGACTAGCGACGAGAATGGACGAAGAATCTTCGTCAAACGTGGGACAATTGCAGGGGCAGAGAGTCGTGTAAAGCGTGCGAAACTTTCGGTCTCAGATGCACCATCCAGCCCTGCTACGGAGTTAATTTAGATAGAAATTTCGAATATCAGTGGATACCCAGTTAGTATCGTTAAATTTTCCATATCTAGTGACAGCCGGATAACGTTTGCACTTTGTAATCAAATTATTGACATATTTTCATTTGGGTAACCTCAGACAATTTATTACATTATTACTACTATGAAGTGGTTCATAGATAATCGATCGATCGATTGTTGATTTTAATCTATAATTTTACAATACCCAAGCGGTTTGTTTGTTGAAACCGCCTTTTAACATTTCACGTACTTAATCTAATTTCATAGTAGGTAATAATAGAATTCATTTACCTAATTGGACTCTATTACAGCATTTTGGAAATATACGTGGTAGGAACATTCTGAATTGTAGTTTTTTTGCTACAACTACAACTTACTATTACGGTCTGACCGTGAGAGAACTGGCGTTATCGTGGTGCAAGATGATACGGCGTTTACGGTTATTTTTACGGAGTTTGTCAATAACTTCCGGTAAACATATGGTCGTGTACCAATAACTACTCACGGTACAACGATTCTCCAAAGTAACAGTAGCCACGTGTCCAGTTTTATTAAAAAAAGAAGCAATCATCCGCTGAGAGGCACATTGCATGCGCGCCATTTTGGTTGGTTTCGGCTCATCTCGAAAGACCCATTATGCTCGATTGCTGCTTTGGTTTGGGATCATAACTATAAATCCATGTTTCGTCACCTGTTACTATGTCCCACACCAAATTTGTCGCCCCTTCGTTGAATCTGGTAAGTATGGCATTGCACTAAGTGACGCGATCCGTTTTTGTGCCTCAGTCAAACTGTGTGGGATTCACCGAGAGCACACCTTTTTCACACCCAAATGTTTGTGTAGCATTCATTGTATTTGACTCATGGCTATGTGTAAAGATGCCCGAATCTCATGGTATGTCACATACCTGTCTGTTTTGATCATACAGCGCACAGCTTCGATGTTTTTGTTGTTCACAGTAGTGGACGAGTGACCATCAAGACATTCATCACTGAGATTCACACGATCGCGTTTGATTCTGCGAACCAGCTATAAATAGTCGTCTTGCATGATGCTTCATCGCCAAAAGCAGTTTGAAGCCGAGCGAAGCTTCGCTGAGCTGTTTACTTACACTTAAAGTCGTAGAAAATCATACTACGAAAATTTTCACGAGTTAAATCCATGGTGATGTAGACAACCAATTTCTAAAATGACGCCACAATGTAAAAATAAGTGACAGTCAGATAAAACAAACTGTCTTCTACAGCCAAAGAGTTCCATTTTCTAATGTTGTAATTACTTTTTAAAATTTTGTTTATGTAAGTGGCCAGTTCCGGAAACTTATAGTGCGCCCTATGTATTACACTGGGGTGCCTAGCTCTATTCGGGGAGTTGTCATATTAATGCAACTGCAGTGTGTGTGTGCATGTGCGAGCGTGTGCGGATCCGTGTGCGTATGCCAGTGCGTGTGCGTGTGAGTGCGTGCGTGCGTGCGTGCGTGCGTGCGTGCGTGTGTTCATGCGTGCGTGCGTGCGGCTTGCGTGCGTGTGTGATTGCGTGCGTGCGTGCGTGCGGCTTGCGTGCGTGTTTGAGTGCGTGCGTGCGTGGGTGCGTGCGTGCGTGGGAGCGTGTGTGCGTGCGTGCATGCGTGCGTGTGTGCGTGCGCGTGCACTAAACGCATTTGTCTCTTTGTAGTCGTTTTTTCAGAACTCTCTTGTTTAAAAGTGGTTTACGAACGCTATTGTGTTACAAATGCTACGAAAACTGAAAATACTAGAAAACAAAGATTTGTCACGTATATTATGTTCCAGCGGAGGAATTACAAGCCGAACATCCGTGCGGATTACTATATGCAGGCGAGCGGCAGTTAAGCGAAGCTGAAACACTGTCGCTAACACACTTTCTGCACGATCAACGTTTTCCTCTCTACACGTTTATTGCCTTTAAAGAGGGTGACGTGCTTGTTAGTATTTATAATTATTTACAATGGGCTGCAAAATAACTAGGTCAATCCCAACAACAAGAAACTAGTTTTCTTCTTTGTCGAAAAAATAGCAGAAAGATTTAGTGTATTTTTTTAATCATATAGACTTTTACACAGTTTTAAGGAATTTTAATTCTTACTGGCGACGGGGACTTTGGTCTTAACAATACGTCGTATGTATTTAAGCTTAATTCTAACTAAAATAATAATTAATACAAAGATCGAAAACTTAGAAAAAACTCCTTCGATCCGGCCGGTTAAAAAGTCCTTGAAAACCAAATGCAAAGATCCGACAACCAGCACAAAGAAAAATTCGTGAGATCTACTGGTTCGTTCTGTGGCTTACTTGGCATAGCGTCTGCCACGGTTTGCCAGAAGATGTCGCTTCGAATCCGGCCCGATCGAAGGAATTTATTGAAAGTGTTCAATCTTCGTATTAATAGTTATAACAAACTAGTGGAGTAATTTAAAAAAAAAAAAATGAATAGCAATTCCATATAAATTGAACTGAAATAGCTTTAAGTAAATTAGTTAAAATTGCGTACAAAAACCACATTACTTTGAAATTTTTATGTAAAATAAATGTTGAAAATCTGCGGGTTCAACGTGTAACTGGGCAATACAAATTTGATATTAAACATTTTTAATAGCGTGAAAACCCTCATTAGGTTACAGTCAGAATAAACATCTTATATATAATATCAGAATGTGACCGAAATCGTTCTCTGGGTAATCAACAATAAATACAAAACACACAAATAGTTTGCACGAACTTCAATTTTTTATATAAAACACATTTTTTATTCCCAGTACCCGCAGTAAAACGGCACATACCATTGTAAAATACACATATTTTTCTATAAATCCAGCCATATGTCATTTTTATAAGGGACATATTTGAGTGCATATCAGAAAACTTAATACATATAAAATTATGATCATTATTCAAATAACTTTCATATGTAAAAAAATATTTCACTACAAATAAAACAACTGTCTAACAAAACTAGAATCAAAAATAATTTTAAAACATGTAATATAACTAGACCTTTGCTAATTTCTCTGTGAACAACGAAAGTAATTAATTAATTTTTTTCATAATGCAAAGTGTTCGTTTGTTAACAAAAATACGGTTTACATAACAAAAATACTGATTGCACATCAATTTAAATTAACTCTAAACGAAATAACAATTCTTTTAACAAAATGACTGTAATTTTTCTTAAAAGTTGCTCCACATATTATCTTCGTTTATATTATACTATGAATCACGTACAACAAATATATTTATGAACTAAATTGAACCTTTACTTGCAAATACAAAAAAAATACTAAGATTTTCAAGCATTAGACTTTGTTGCAATGTCTGTGTGCAATTTTAATTTTTTTTTGTTGATCTTATTGTTTTGGACAAATTGTACAATTCGACCATTATGTCAAATAAAATGGTTTTTCATTCCGATAGACTGATGTTTCTTTTAGTGAAATAAGCTTAGAATAATAACGCATAGAAACCTAGTCCGCACACGCTAAGTGAGGCAAATTGAAGCGCCCCCAATGGGCCTACACGAGCGGGCGGGCCTTTAGTGCTCAAGGTCAACTTGCACCGCGAACAGCTCAAGAATTTTAGCTAAAAATTACGAAATGTGCGGTAAATGAGTGTAAAAATACATACGTCAGACAAACATAAAATAGATACTACTTATACTACACTTTTGAGGGAAATGTTGTACCATGGCATCATATTTGTATATTTGACAGTTCGTTTGATATGAAACTATCATTCTATGCGTTATTATTCTAAGGAAATAGGTATGTTTTTTCTCATAAATTTATGGTCATATGGTTGTTGTATGCCAAAAATATTAGATATGTATTTAGATGTTAGATATGCATGGCGACAAAATATTATGCATTAATTTTAGTACATAATGCTAAATTAATTTTTTTTTGATATACATATTCTGATGTGCGATCAGTATTTTTGTTGGGAAGTGGTATATTTGGTTGTGAAAAAACTTGGTTTTTTTAACACTACCCTTTCTATATGACGTGGTTTTTGCACTGTAGTGGGCCATATTCTTTAATTTTAATTGCTACTTAAGGTGGTTTAAAAACTAATGTCTTTACAGGGAGTAATGTACCCATACTCACATACGCGAAAAAAAAGGGCCTTCGATCACGTTTATGTAAGTTGTATTTTAATTGAGTATGTTATAAATTTATCATTGATGATTTTCATTTGGATGTGTTTAAATGAAATAGAGGCAAAGAGCATCTCGTGCGGCGGCTGCTGCCTACAGCATAAGTGGGAGACCCTACGTTGCAGGGCAGACATCGGAGTTTTTGCGTAAGTTAATCTTCCTCCTAGGCTATGGCAAACATCAAATATTGTAATAAGTTTGCATTAAATGTAACTCAGAGATTCTTTAGTCATGATAGACTAACTATAATTATTATCCAACATAAAGCCACATTAATTTCTGTCCTGTCGTATAAGTTTAGGCAAATATAGACATATCGTAAAACCATAGTAATCCGCTATCTATCATTTTTTTTTATTATTTAAAACAGCAATAACATTGAAACAATTGAATAAAAATATTTGCAATTTTTTTTAAATAACGGTTTTTGCATATGTCGGGCTTTCATATTCGCATACAAAAATGATTAAGTGTATAACAAAAAGGTAAAGTATCAACATTATTTTACTTCGTAAATATTTATCAATTTGTGTTCAAAAACGGAACATTTCGAAATAATTTTGTAAAGGAAAGTTACTACTCCAAAAACATGGTAAATTAATACAAATGCTAGCTAACAGTCTAGAGGAATTAATTCAGTTGCTTCAGCTGTACCAAGTACGAGTCTGGTCGTGTATGGAGTACTGCTCCCACCTATGGGATGGCTCTGTATACCAACTGACCACCTTAGATTCAATCGACAAGCGCACCAAGAAGCTTATAGGTGACTCGGAATTTGTAGAGGCAAAGCTGCAAAGCCGTGACCACCATAATAAATGCCTGTTTATCGGTATCCTACAGGATATATCACGGAGTATGTGCGCGGGATTGCACCAGGTGAACCAGACGTAGGGTGGGGTTCCATCCCTATGTTGTGGATATTCCAAGTATTTTTACGAAGCGTTTCGCTTTCACATTTATATGGCGAATGGCTATGGAATGGAATTTCCTGTCTGCAGATTTGTTCCCTGAACAGTATAGGTAACTTGGACCTTTTCAAGGCGAGAGCGATAGGCATTATTTAGGTGAGTATGCTCCATCGTCGACTTCATCGTCGCTTTCCATCAGGTGAGATAGAGGTCAAATGCGCACTTATTTTTAAAAAAGGAATATATTTTATTTTAGGTTTCCTTTTGCAATTCCACTACTGGTGCCAGCACTATTTATATATTTACCAGCATTCTGGTGGTTTCATACGACCTTAAAACATTATTTCGAGGCTAGTGTAGTCCGAAAGCAGTCAGTTGAAAATCTATTTGATATTTATGACCGCATTAAATAATTAAGACACGTCTTTTTGAATTACCTGGAACACGATCCTGTTTTCAAAGTACCTTGGAACACAAGGTTTTCATAAAAAAACCCAGTTAAATTCTGTTATCAACTAATGATCCTAGTATCTATGATATTACTTATTATCAATGAGATGTTATTGTTGATAATAATGCTATCAAGGATCACATGAATCTTTTTATTTTCATTCATTTACATTTTTTGTTTCGTCACAACATTCTAGATGCTCATTTCTACAATCCAATTTTTTAATGTATGTATTTTATTTTAAAGGCTTGACGTACATATCCTATATAAATTGATAACTAACTTTTATAAACAATAAATGTATGACAAAATTGCTTCTTCAGAAGTATGTTTTACAAGATATTAGCCATCTTGTTGTTATATCCTGTTATTCGAAAGAAACTGCAAAATTATTAAAACTACAGTATTTATTAAGATGCATAACTAAAACTCCAGTATTTCTGTCTATCTCAAAATGTCTAATAATAGGTGTCATTAGTAGAGATAAAAAAATCGCTCAGTAGCTGGCCGTCCTGTGTTGTGTATGCTTTCACGTGTTTGTCAACAAAAGTTACCAATAGTTAATATAGTCAATGGCTATGACTACTGAAATACATCATTTTTCCAATGAACATAAATTTCCAATATCATAAATATATTGGTGTTAAAGATTATTTAAATAAAACCCGTTTTTCCACAGCTCACAGATTCATTTGTCTCATCATTATTCACGCCCTTGGATTCCCACTGAAGTAGACGGAATCTTTTTTTATAAAAAGCTTAAAGTTTATGTAAGCCTTTTATTATTCTGACTTTATTATTCTGATTTTATTTGAAAATATTTTTCCTGCCGTCCACTTCCAACGTTATACTTCTTTATATTTCTGTCAGTACATCATCTTTTACACCACATCGTTCATGGATTATTGTATTGTTCATTCTGTCACATACCCACACATTGCATATTTTCCCGTAGGTTCTTATTTCTACTGCATTTACTCTATTCTCGTGCTTCTTTTGTCATACCCAACTCACTCACTCCCATAAATCAGTACTGGTACCAACAGAGTATTATGCACCACCATTCGTACCTTCTCAGATACAGCCTAACTGTAATCACTCCGTTTATGGCTATTTTTACAACATTTGCCTTTTTTATTCTCCTTTTAATATCTTTAGTAACGTTGAGCTCCTTTTGAAAGAATTGGTCCAGACATGTACTGCACCTCAGTTATTTCTGCTGCCAAGTAGTAATGTTAGCTGTGGAAATTACAGGTGTTAGTGAAATAAAGAAACAGAAGACTTGTCAACTTATGCCTCAAGGTTACGGGCGCGGTGGCAGTGCCAGCAGATTTTTATGATTTGAAGCTCGAACTGTCACTGCAACTGTTATGGACAGGCGTGTCGTTTACCACCAGGCGCACGACTTGTTCGTCCCGGCGTCTGTTCTATTTCTTTATGAATAGTGAAAACTGGATTTGTTATGATCCGTCAGCAATCGTCGTAATGGGTGTCTGAGACAACACAATTTACCTGCACAAGTTCTTCGCGAGCGTAGTGTAAACAAAAAAAAAGATTGTGTTTATTGGTTTAGAAAATCAAAAAACTAGTGCTAGGCTGCTAGGTAACGACACACTGAAATTTGTCTGCCTCATACATTCGAATAATTTGGTGAGGATCACTTGAGGCACTTTTCAAAAATTAAGACAACGCACCTGTACACATACACATCAGCTAGATCAATTGATGTCTTAAACAAATCTCGTGTTCAATTGCTGGCTCATGTTACCCATCGTTTTTCCAATATGGATGACAAACTTGACTTTCGGTCCGAGCTAGAACTAAGGATGTATAACAACGCAATTGGACAGTTTCGAATGGGCTTTTCGTTGACGGAATTCGAAAGTGGTTCCGTAGGTCTTCCATAGTGGGAAACCTGCCGTAACTACGGATTTCGTGCTTCGAGAGTAGGGCCCCAGCTCCGACCTGGCTCCTTATGATGTTTTGTTGTTTCCAACGGTTAAAAAGATGGACTTTTTGGCATTTTGCAACGCAAATAAGGCTGTACATAAAATTAACGGGCTTTTAACGACTTTCCGTAAGAAGCCTTTTTGAACTATTTTCAAATCTGCTTTGAACAACCGACAAAGTGTATTGAGGTCGAAGGCTAATATTTTGAAAAACAAAAAAAATACAACTTTGAAACCTAACATCAGGGAAATAATAAGTAAAGTTCGGCGATTTTATCACGTCTTCTTATTTAGTAGGTAATGCATTGGCATGCATCTCTATTGAGAGATGGGAAAAACTACTTATTTTTTTAAACGTTTAAACGTTATACTTTTTTAAAAAGCGTGCAATTTAAACGCTTTTTAGTTTAAAGTTACCAAAATCGTTTAGAAAACGTTCAAGCGCATTGACTTTTATGTTAAAAAAAAGCTTGCAACGTTGTGTTGATAGCGAAACGCAAGAGTACCTATACCACACGGAACAGCATCACGGAACGTGAGACTGACTGTTCTTGTTGCCTCTAAGGCAACAAGAACAGTCAGTCTTGTGCATTGGCGTTGTTATGTCGAAAACGGGAAAACTGTTGTCGTCTATACTGACCATAGCGCTCTTAAATGGTTTCTTTCGATTGATAATCCTACGGGCAGACTCGCTCGTTGGGGTGTTCGGTTGTCGTCGTTTGATTTCGAGATTAAACACCGTCGTGATGTGAACAACGTAATACCTGACGCTTTGTCTAGAGCTGTCCCGGTCGCTTCTATAGTCACTGCCAAATCAGTCGCTACTTCTAGTGACGATTGGTATAAAAGTATTTATAATAAATAATTGTTTAACGAAACCCGCGCATTATCCTAACTTTCTAATAAAAAAATGACACTCTCTTCCACCTTAGTTCTCGTGGAAAGAGGTAGGTCCTGCAGAACTTAGAGAAGCTGTTTTTTTTGCGAAAAACCACAGTGAGCCAATCTCAGGTCACTTATGAATTTTTAAAACCTGTAAACGTGTCGCGCTTAGGTATTACTGGCCAGGCATGTACCGCGACATAGCTATTTTTATGGGTTCGTGTTCAACTTGTTTACAGTACAAGGTCCAAAATCATCCAAGAATTAGGACGCCCCAAACAGTGTTCACGCCCCTACCAAATGATCTCGATCTATTTGATGGGCCCTCTGCCCGTAACTCGTAAACAAAATAGAATAGTAGAATAGAATATATATATATATATATATATAGAATATATATAATATAGTAGAATAGAATAGTAAAATATTAGTAGCAACTTATTGTTTTTCTGAATTTCTGTCACATTTTTCCCATTAAAAAGGCTACCGCAGAAATAATTGCGAAAATTTTGGAAGAACAAATCTTTTTATTTCATGGTGTCTCTCAGACAATATTTATGGATAATGGCCCTCAGTTCATTAGTGCCATACAAATACACTATTTACAAAATATAATATCCCTGATGTATTTTTCACACCAAAGTATACCCCCCAGGTTAATACTGTGGAACGGTATAATAACACTATTATAACTTGTGTTTCTACTTTTATAGACAGTGACCATCGTTCTTGGGGCACGTTTTTGCCTAGTGTTCAATTCGCGATCAATAATAATTCAGTTAATGATGCTACTGGTTTTAAGCCGTCGTTCCTCGTCTTCGGGCGAGAACAAGTTGTCTGCGGTTCCCATTACACTGACATTGATTTAGGCGACAGGATTCTTTTCATGCCTCGACATGTGTACGCTGAAAACCTTAGAGATATTGTTTATAAACGCGCTTATATCTTGAGTGATA